TTATATTAATTATAGTAGTGAACAGTATTAATATTTATTATTATAAATATTAATATTTTATTATTAGTTATTATCTATAATTATAAAGTAATTATATAATATTAAATTATAATTATTTATAACTATCTTATAACTACATCACAACTACACCACAACCTTAAAACTAGTTTATAAACTATAATACTAGCTTAAATACTATTTATAATATATAATACACTCATATGCTTACTATTATTATCAATACTAAATTATTAACCACATTGTTACTAAACCCCTTGGGCCACTACGTAGTTTTGAAATTCTGTATGAACCATATCATTACATAAATTAAACATTCAGAGAAAGATATTAAAAACACCAAGGAAATGAACTCTGTATCAGGAATTTCAACATTTTCAGATCTCGTCGCTGGAAGGATTGCGCTCAGACATGAGGCTTTTGCTATTGCTATCAGAGCTGGCATTCCAGATTACTCTATAAAGTGGTGTATTTATCTTCTTTCAACCCAGGCGGCATCACACTCGGTCGGAAAAACTCTCGGATATGTTGCCCACCCCCCGATCAGCATCGCAGCCCATCAACCGGTAGATAAGCAAAAAGTATCCTGCGCGTCATGTCCCTTCTTCGAGTCGGTCAGGTTCTCCGAGGGAAATTGGGCCAATACATCGTCACAAAACAGATTCAAGAGACAGTATGGTTTGCCAAGTACGCGTTCCTGGAGAATCAACACAGCGGAATAATAATGTCTGACCTCTAAATAGGAACCAGATTAAAGACACAGTTGTTGTCAAAGGTGTTGAAGACCATCCACGAGTCGCGAATGAGCGCGATGTTTTGAAACGTTTCCAGAACCGAACTCCCTGTCTGAGGCCTTTGATTGATGAAATCCACGATCCATCTAGACCGGAAATCATTGTTCTGAGACATCTAGACGACCATCTTCTAAACTCCTCGATGACAAAGCCCCTTAGTCGAGCTGAGCTGAAGTATGTAGCTAAGCATGTCCTAGAAGCACTAAATGTTCTTCATGAAAATGGCTACGTACATACAGGTAGGCGAACATTATTTACAAGTTTCCCACCTGTGTATACCTTATAACAAGCTGATATACCATTACTGTTATAGATGTAAAGCCCGATAATGTCTTTGTGAACTATCAAGAAGGAGAGATTCGGTTCTCTCAAGTCCAACTTGGGGATCTAGGAAGCACTTGTCCTTCTTCTAGTGAGATTGCCACACAGGGCATACCAATTGGTGCGCCAATTTGGACAAGCCCTGAAGTGATTATGGAGACTCCGTGGAACACAGCGTCAGACATTTGGTCCTTTGGCTCTATGGTACGTCACAGTGCTGCTAGAAGATGGATGCTTGACTAACTTCCTTTCTTCTCTTGGTAAATAGCTTATCAGTCTTATTTACGGCGGTAACTTCAACCTGTTCCGTCCCCGAACGGTTCCATATGGCCACGAAGAGTATAACCTAGAAGTTTTGAAACAGCAATTCCGCTACTTCGGACCCTTCCCTATCAAATATGCAGAAATTATAGGTCCGGAAACAGCTGCTGCAATCGCATACATAATGCATGAGATTCCAAGAGCCCAGCTAACGCCGTTTTCATGCACAACCGAGCGCGAAGTTTCCAGGGCAGATAAGGAATTTATCTGTAAGATTATGATGATGGATTGGAGAGACAGACCGACTGCAAAGCAGCTTCTCAAGGATGACTGGTTTCAAGAGGAACGTTAACACAGATCATTTTATAGGTAGTCCTGGGGGTGACTAGTGCAGAGTAGATCTAAAAATGCACTCCTCTGTTTAATATTTTAATATTAAATTAATAGTAAATCTAACAAATGACCCTAGGTATGCCACTAAATTAAGCTCATCTAGACAGTCTCATCTAAGTTTTATGTGTACAGACGCTGCGTCCTATGCCTATCAGGCAAGGCTGACTCGGAGTGATTTATTAAATCTTCTAGACATTTATATAAGGCTAAACACCTATTCACTTCTATTAATAACTATAGAAATACAGCTGTGACTGTGGCTACAGGTGAAATTTAATTAAAGGTTATTTCTTTCCCTTGTCTTTTATTAGAATAGCTTACCAGGGGCACCAACACCCTCACCCACACAGGGAAAACTTTTTAAGTTGGATGAGCTTCGGCAATTTTGCAGCGGAAAAGAACTCTTTACCTAATATTTAATGCCTAAGATAGCAGAACTATTGCTTATAAGTAGTATTCTCAGAATTATGTCTCTCTTCCTGACTGTTTGTCTGGGCCTGCGGACATGTTCTACACAGTTTAAGTCTAAACCAGTAGTAATAAGGCCTTCTCATAATAGAAAATGGATGCTGATAGCAAGTCTTATTATCTCTATTATCTCATATGTTTACAAGTAGCTAAGCAGATGACATGATCCATTCCTTGACATGATCGGCTAGTATTTCGCCGCCATCCTCCTCTTCTTCCTTTTCCAACCAAAGATCAATCTCTTGAGCCAGTCCCGTCGCATTTAATACCTTACAAATGGCAAGATGAATGGCGAGCAATTTTGGGCTGGGAAGGTCGCAATCAGTCTCAGTTCCGAAAACGACTTTATAGTCCTTTGGAAGAGCGAGTTTTGCCCAGTCCGACATATCACGGAAAGTTTGAATTTCATACTGGCGTTCTTGAGCAGTTGGAATCAGACCGAAATGAAAACTGCCAAATTCTTCGTGCAACGCCGCGAGGAGCGTCATGGCATTTTCTGGTATGTTTATGGAGCCTGGGGTCATGGCATCGATAACTTCATGTACAGAAGGGAAATATCGGTAAAGATACGCCCATGTTCTTGGGCTTGCTTGTGCCTTTATCTCTACTTATTAATTTGCGCCATCATAGACTGGTGAACTTTGAAGGAAATAAAAACATACCTCATAAGGATCAACATTGTGGTGTGTCAAGGCAGGAGCTGAAAAGTATGGGATAATGTGAGCGCATTTAGTCCAACCAGTCTTGATTCCGGTTTGTTCATTCTCTGCCAGCGTTTTAAATTGGCTCGCGTCATAGTACCCGCTTATGATACATCTATTGGAGTCGCGACGTAGACATCTTTGCTTGAGTGTCTCTTGGCCATTTCCTGTCCTTGCTTGTCCTTCATATGAGATGGATGGTGATGGCGATGGTGTTGGGGTACGGCCTCCCTGCCTTTTCACTGCGCAAGTTACCTTGAATCCTAGTATAAACAACAGATAACATATGTTTAGTGAATAGGAAAGTTACGACTTCGGCGGCAAGTTCGACAAGTTCGTCACTTGATTTTCCACAGATATCTTGGACCAGGTTTTGCTGCCCGTTGCTTGGCAGTGCTGCCAGCAGCTCTTCAAGGATCATTCGGGTCTTATCCTGGTCTGAAGCTGGCTCGTACTCCTGCAATTTCTCTCGTGCTTGCTGGATGGTTGCTAGTCCTTGACCTGCGCGGCGCTGTATCTTCTCCATCTCTGCTAGGATTGGGCCATTGGCCAACCTGGCCTTCTTCTGCTCATGCGACCGCTTGGCGGCCCCTTGCAGCGGTCTCTTTGGTCCCATCTTTACGTTTTCACGAACAGGAAAATGTCGAGTGTAGTGGATGCTGACGAGAGGTGATGCGAAGCAATAAGAGGGTATCATGGGCTAAGCAAACAGCGCGCGCCCGAATAGGAAGCCATGGCTACAAAATGACATCATAGTGAGGAACCAGGATTACTCCATGTCAATATTTTTATCCTCTTATCATCTTCTTATCTTTGAATCTCACTCGGTACAGGCGCTGTAGATAAAGTGAGTCACTACTATATATCTAAGAAAGTAACACAAAAGAAATAGAATAAAGCTATTTTTATATGATTAAAAGGTTCTTAACAGCAGTATATAAAGGATAGCTATAATCAAGTTAAAGTATATCTATTTATAACTAGTTATTATAAATCAAGTTATGTAGTAACTATCCTATTGACTTGATAAGCTAGTGATGCTAATTAACTGAAATAAGCTGACAACCCCGCTTCTAGTCTCACCATGTGAATGGTAACAGCACCATCCTCACCATGGTTGAGATCAGGTACGCCCGTGAGGAAGACTGCCCTCGAATCGGCGCAGTCAATGCGGCAGCCTATGCGACGGGCCTTTTTCTCGCCAACGCGTTCCCGCAGGCCACCCCCGACGAAAGGGCCGAGTACATGCATTTCCGTGCCATGCAGACGCTTCTCGACCCATCTGTGTGTACACTGGTTGCTATCGAGGTTGAAACCAACACTATCGTCGCTGTAGCGCAGTGGAGGGGCATATTCTCAGAAGAAAGACAGTCTATAGTTTTATCTGATGAGGGCACTGCATTTGTAAAGAGGGAATTCTCTCTAGAGCCGCGCAACCAAGATGTAATAAATGCGTTTCGAGCACTCGTGCAGGCGAAGCGTGAAAGGTACCTCGGCGATGAAATAGGTATTCTCTCTCTATATGTACTCTAATCCTCTCTCTGATGATTCTAGTTCTCGATCAACTATGCACTCACCCTCAATATCAAGGCCGGGGAATCGGGGCGACAATGCTCCAATGGGGGATTAACAAGGCCGACGAAATGCAAAAAGATATCTACCTTGAGGCAACGGCAGCCGCGCGATCGCTGTACAGCAGGTTGGGGTGGGAGATGCTTGAGAAGGCTGTTCTTGACTATGGGCTGTATGGGGGTGAGGGAGTGGACAAGGTATATTTCATGCGGCGACCGCATACCAGATAGTACGAGTATAAAACTCAGGTCTAGGAATAGGATTATATTTACTTGAGATTTTAGAATAAAGTCTATCTGAAAGGCAATCAAAACCCCCTCTACCAATAATACCGATGTTTCTGCCCCCTGGAATCTGTATAGAGAGCCTCCGACTCCAACTCTGGATGATCTCGCAGCCTGCGAACAAACCGCCGGTCCGAGACGTAGTTGATGGTCGACTGTATAATGAGAACGAGCAGCCACACGGCGCCAAGCGAGATACAGGCCGTCCAGGCTGTTCGGTAGAGGGGGGCATCGCTCTGAAAACATTAGCAAACTGTATAGTTGAAAGCTGAGGCTGTCTCATACCGATCGGAATACTTGGCTTCCATATGTACCGCCAAGATTGGAGCAACCAACTGTGCAATCAGATGGTGAATATGATCAAGGGAGATGGTAGAGTAGGAAACATACTGTAAAATGCGTAGGCAATGGCTCGTTTCTGGGGCGTCTTCATGCTCAACGAGAGCCACGTAACGTTGATCGGTTGCCAGCCTCTGATTGATTAGTATGATCATCCTCATTCCGACAGTGAATACTCACGGCGCCATGTTGGTGAAAAGATAAGCCCCATAGAAGGACCATGAGGCTTTGGTGTTGACAGGGAGGTTCTAAGCAGTTAGCAACTACCCTAACCTTTGGTAAAGATGAAGGGCAACCCACAAATAAAGCAATGAGCCCTATTAATGTCCAGATGGCAACCCCAATCATCAAAGGCCCAAACCGTTTGTACCGATCCGCAGCCCAGCCGAGAGCGACACCGAGGAAAGCCGCGACTATAGGCGCTGGGGCATTCAGGAGGTTGGCGTCGACATTCGTGAAGCCGAGGGACTCGATAATCACAGCGCCCCAGGTTGCCAGGCCACCGACTGACTGCAGGCCCGACAGGCAGACGATGAGATACGGCCAAACACGCCAGTCGAAAACGACAGAGGAACTGTATAGATTTCAACGATCAATATACTGTTGTGAAGAAGGAAAGGGAATCTGTCGACTCACATGTCGTTCCAGGTGATGTGCATTGTCGAGTGATTCCCCTTGGCTGGGTCTGCCTTGAGGATGCGGGCGACATAGACGTCTGCCTCTCGATCAGAGAGCCAGCCTCGCCAGGGGATGAGGCCACCAAACAACCGGTTGGTTTTATGTGGCGATTCGGGTAGGATGCAAAAGGCGATGACTCCGGCGGTCATGGTACACACACCGCAGATAATGAAGATCCTGATGATTAGCTGTGTATTCACAATAGAGGGGAGAGCGATTACCATTGCCACCCTTTCAGTCCTCCTTGGCCGGTCAAACCCAGGGCCCCTGCGGAAATCAGAGAGCCAAAGGAAGAAGACAACGAAGGCCCAAAGAAGAAGATGGCTGTGCGCCGGGCAAGTTCGTCCTGCGTATACCAGCGCGAAAGCGTGTAGAGACTGCCTGGGATGAAACCACTCTCGGCCAGGCCGAGGAAAAGTCGCGCCGCATACCATCCCCCGGCGGAGTTCACGAAATGTTGCATGACTTCAATCAAGCCCCAGAGGATGACCTGGCAGGGGATCCAGTAATGGGGGCCGATGCGATGGAGGATTACCTGATTGAAGTATCAATAAAATCAAAAGGAAGCGAATTAAGAGCAGACTGAGTGGATCGTGGCAATTACATTTGCAGGAATCTCCAAGAGGACGATACCAAGCCAGAGGAGGGAGACGCCAACATTGGCCTGGTCTTTGGAGATGCCGGTATCGGTCAGAAAGGTGGAGGTGAGGACGCCCGAGACGTTGGTGCGGTCGATGGCCATCCAGGTGAACATGAGGCAGAAGACCGGGAGGAGGATGAAGTCGGCCTTGCGGACAATAGCGGCTTCCTCTGCCTTAGTCCAAGACACTAGGACTTGTTGGCCGTCTTTTTCGATCCATTGTTCAAGTCGGGTATTGTCATGGAAAGATCCTTCATCGCTGGTGCCGGCCTCTTCCTCGTGGATCTGGCCCTTTTTCTCGACGGTCGAAGCCATTGTTCCAAACGATAGGCAGTCTATCTCTATATTCCTCGCTCTCTATCTTATTCTACTTATACCCGTACTGAGCTGTACTTTCTCATCTTTCATGTAGATGACGCCTTGTGTGGCAGTGGCCAATAGGTGAGGTTCCATATTGCGGATGACACAATTCTTCTTCTCACTGGCGACTTTGCAGGATTCGCTTCGATCAGGGCTAACGTAGCTTCTATGACACCATCTAGGCTAGAACGATGCCATCGCGGGGATGAACGGAGCACCGAACAGACCGAGCTTTGTCAGACTCGAGAGCTTTTATTTAAATACAGGGATCAGAAGGCTGCCAAAAGAATAGAAGCAACTTCTCTCATATCAACATGTCGACAAAACTCCCTACATACTTCATCGGCCATGGTAAAGTGACCCGTTGGCATTGATTATCGCAATTCTCTAACGAATAAGCCGGAGTCGCTGCTCTCTTCTTTGAGAACCAGAAGCCTCTACATGCGGGCTTTCGGGCGATAGGAAAAGAGATCAAAGCCCTCAACCCTGATGCCATTGTCATTACCAGTGGGCACTTTCAAAGTCCCAATGATGTAATCCAGGGTATACCTCATTTAAATCCATAACTATGGTATCAGACTAGTATTAACAAATTAGTCAATCTCCAGGAGCCAACCAAGGTCTGGCATGATTTTGCGGTTGACTGGCATCCGACTTATCCCCACGTCTACGAATATGATTATCCGCACCAGTCGTCAAGGGCACTGGGAGAGAAGGTGCTGCGCCATCTCAAGGACCAGGGGATTCAAGCTGAGCCTGTCTACCGTGATCTGGATCATGGAGTGTATGTCTTTTTCTTCTTTTTGGTTGACTTCTTTTTTGGGATCCCTACTGACTCTTCAGCTGGGTGCCCTTTAAGCTGATGTTCCCTGAAGGAGAAGATGAGCTGGAGATACCCATTCTAGAGGTGTCAACCTATGATGGCGATGACTATCAGAAGCACCTCCGCCTAGGCGAGGCCCTTGCTTCCTTGTAAGCCTCCACATGTCAATACCTGAGAAATTGGATGTGTATGCTGACTGCCCAGGGGCGAGCGCATTCTCATCATCGGCTCCGGCATGCTGGTCCATAACCTCGATGCTATGCGCAACAAATCAGACGTTATAGAGGTCGCCCAGTCTATTGAGGCCGAGACGGTGCATGCCCTGGCGTCGCGTACGCCCGAAGAACGCACAAAGAGACTGCTGCAGCTGCAGCAACGCGACGACTGGCAACGCGCCCATCCCACGGACGAGCATATCCTACCGTTGTATATTACGCTGGGAGTAGGACGGGATCTGGAGGGGCATCGCGTGTGGAACACTGACCAGTGCACCATTGGGCAATCTTTTACTTGCTTTAGATTAGGAAATATCATATAGTCTAGATCAAATAAAGAAATAGTCGAAGATCAATCAGTGATAGCAAATTCTGTATAGTTGGTAGATACGCCCAGAATAACACACGATATATTCACTCAGATGAAGATATACTTCAATATGAGGAACCAGATGTATATAAATCAGACAGAAAATTCTAGTATATACCTGTAACTATACCTCAACTATTTCATCACTTTTTCCAGACTTAAGCTGCTCAAGTATAGCCGATACTCCTCTTTGTAAGGGTCAGGCCGGTATTCAGGACCCTTGATTTGATCATAGAGCTCCTGACGCGCCGAGTCGTCGGTACAGAGCTGATACCTGTAGAGCCGCATCAGTCGCGCAGTGTTCAGGTCCCCCTGGGTATGTTCTTTCAACATTTCAAGTTGATTGAATAGCCCGAGCGGGCTGTCAGCACGGTTGATAAGTTCTAACAAACAAGACTCCATCGTTTGGTGATCGCCTAGTCGACGGGCAGTCTCGAGCACGGTGAGTAACAGGGCATGGTTGTTAGGCTTCACGGCCACTGCTGTCCATCGCGGCGGCTCTGTATTGCCAGGAATCTGAGGTATGAAGAGTGGCGGAGCTAGAACAAAATTTGCTATCTGGTCATGGCTCTGCTGGCTTGGGCGGGCCATCTGCTCATTCTGGATGGTGTCCTGGACTGGTAACTCGCGATGAAACAGCTCCTGGGTCAGGATCCAGTTCGAAAAGGGCCGGGACTCGATGCAGGCTGGGTGGTTCTTCTCGATAGTCAAGGCTACGTGATGGGTACATCGTAGCCACCTCCTGGCAGCGGTAATCCTCCTGGACCTATATGCATTCATGATCATGCTGGGGATTCTCCCGCATATACTGAGTATGGTATCGACGATGTAAAGACTCAAAAGACATTTGAACAGAACCAGTCTGTTCAGACAGCTTGATCGAGTAGCTGTATGTCCAACCTACCTCTTTCAACCTAGAGGATCCTGAGAATTTTCCTCCAGAGCTACAAGACTACCTTATTTCAGTTTTTCTTGATTCTTATGGCTCCACTAGAATCTCTAAAAGCTTGTCTGACTTTCTCTATTTAATCTATATAACTCTCAAGATAATTAAACTTAGAGTAGAGAAAAGGAGTGGAGGGCAAGGAACGCAGCTGCGGGTATTGATCTATAAAGAGACCTACCTTGCAAGACGGTAGTTCAGGTCAGTCTGGGAGGAGGAAACAGAGCATAATAATGCTAGAGGGCCACCGAATGTCTATAAAAAGGGTTAATATGGACGCTCCAGATAAAGCCGTTATCCCTCTACTTAATCCCTAACCCTAACCCTAACCCTCACCCTAACCCTTACCCTAAGCCCTAGTACAGGCCTCATCTCGCGGTATCCACGATGGGTTAATTTTGCGTTTGGTGTAGGTCTGTCTATTGGAGATACCCCTCATTGCTCCCCTTGCTATACTCTACTAACACCTCGATCTATAAATGACAAAAGTGGGAAAGGTGACGATCATTATTGTTGGTCCCGTTCTCGCCGATATCTTCCTGCTGCTTATGGGCATCCTGGGCTGCGTTAAACAGACCAACGCCATCTCTAACGCCATCGGCGGCCTGCTGGTAATGAGCACAGTAGTTTATATCACCTTATGCATCCCTGATCCATGACTATAAGTTAGTCCTAGGCTGATGTCATTTCGCGTATCACCTTCAACCTGCAGAGCTTCACCACCAATAACCTCCTCTGCTTGATGCTGACGGGGTCGCCTGGCATCTGAGCGCCAGAACTGCATTTCTATTCCTAGGTTTATTTCGTACTATACAAATAATTTATACATGTACTGATTATACCAATTGGTTGGCACAAATCTGGTGTATCTTCCGGCTGCCAAAGACCAAGGACCACACATTCCGGGAAATCTATTAGCTATTCGAAGAGAGCGGGCTATCGGCAAGCAAATGGCGCAATGCGCAGGCTGATGTCTTCCTGTCGACAAGGTGACAGTCGAGCAGACGAGTGCTGATTGAGTACACGCCATCGACAGACAATTTTTAGTCTAGTGTACAATCAATTATATATTTCAATGGTCACAGAAAACTATATATTTTCTTCATATATTGAAATTTTATTTTAAAGGTTGAATGTAGGTACTAGTAACCTCTATAATAAAAATGCATTATACCTCACATGTATGTTAAAGTATCTCTTACTCCAGCTCATCTATACTATACTAGCTAAATCAGATAACACCTATCATAATAGAGGTAAATCATACTTTCTCTCATTGGCTAGGTCTTGCTGAACAATATATCCCCTTAAACTTTATTAGATTTAGTGCTTACGCCTTTCTCATACTATATAAACTAAACTAGCTGTAAGAATTCCTTGGTCTGGGCCATTTTTATTCTCTTTTTCACTCCTCTTTTTATTCTGTTGTATTTTTATGGTTTATTCTTCTGTTTCTTAAAAGTGACCTCCTTGCAAAATGATTCTTATAATAGTTCTTCTATATATAATCTATAAAATCGCGTCTTTCATCCGCTTCTACATCATCGGTCGGCGTACTGGATTCCCTCTCATTCTCACTCCAATCTTTTCCCAGGGCATCCTCTGGATGGTCCTCGGCCCAACCCTGCAGCCTGTCTTCCAGAAATACCTGCCCGAATGGATCTATAGACGGTTAGATATTGTCACAAATGGATGGGATTTCCGTCGAAAGAATCAAATGCATCTCCAGTTAGGCAAGGCATTTGTGGTAGTCTCACCAGATGAATGCTCATTATGGTATTTCTATCTTTCCTAATTGATGACGTCTGTCATAACATATATTTCAGGGTCGGTGATCCTGCCCTCGCTGCTGTTGTTCTCGCGCGACGCAAGGATTTCGTCCAGCCGGCGATTGTCGCCCAATTCCTGGATTTCTTTGGGACCAACATTCTTACAGTAAGAAATGATGATAAAAATAAGACTATAAGAAAGCATATTAATGAATAGTCAAATGGCGAAGACTGGCAGCGCCAACGAAGGATTATTGCCCCGAATCTCAATGAAAGCGTGATGGAGGTGGTGTGGCAGGAGAGCTGCCAACAAGCAAGATCGATGCTGGGCTATCAAATCCAACATGGAGAGACGAACAAGACACTGGACGGTCTGCGCAGCGTGGCGATCAACGTGCTTGGCCAGGCTGGATACGGTCAGAACCAGGCCTGGTCCCCTGATTTCTCCAAGAGTATCGCATCAGAGGCATCGCCAGCATCTGGCTCAGAGGCACCGTCAGCACGCATGGCATACTTCCGCACTATTTCAATGGTAACAGAGCATTTCGCAGAGGCAGCTTTGATTCCGGCGTGGATCAAGACACTACCCTTCATGCCGGCCCAGCTGAGGCTGCTGGGGCGCCAGATGCAGCGGGTGCCGGAGTATATCCAGGCGATTCTTGAGGGGGAAACCGGCTCTGATGAGAACAAAGATCAAATGAAGAGACATAACTTTCTGGATGTACTGGTTGAATTTGCAGATAATAAGAACACCAGCGACAGCAATAAGAAGAGCCTGTTCTTGTCCAAGGAAGAGATAAGTGGCAATCTCTGGATCTTCACAGGCGCTGGCTTCGACACAACTGCCAACACTATGGGCTACGCCGTCCTCCTCCTCGCCGTGTATCCGCAATGGCAGGCATGGATTCAGGAAGAACTGGACGACTTGGTTATGGACACATCTGACTGGGAATATACCACTATTTTCCAACACTGTCCGCGACTTTTAGCTGTGATGGTATGTTTTAGATCTTTATACATGTGCTCTTGCTAATATGAATAGTTTGAAACGCTTCGGTTGTATACGCCCGTCGCGCACGTCAGCCGCGGCGTCAAATCCCCCCAACAATTAGCTGCTGAGAAGGGCACACATCTCCTCCTTCCCCCAATGAACGTGTACATTGTCTCGCAGAGTCTACACATGGACGCCTCCATCTGGGGCCCAGACGTGAGCGAGTTTAATCCGGCGCGCTGGATCGACCAAACAACAGGCCAGCCCGTGACGCCGGAAAGGGGTGCGTTTCTGCCCTGGTCTGGGGGCCCCCGCGTGTGTCCCGGGATGAAGATGTCGCAGGTGGAGTTTGTGGCGACGCTGGCGACTCTGTTTCATGGGGCAAAATGTGAACCTGTGCATACCGGGGTGACAGTAGAGGATGCACGCCACAGGCTGAAGAAGATGATGGACGATTCGGCACCCAAGTTGACCTTGCAGGTGAAGGATCCGAAGATGGTGAATCTAAGGTGGACGCCTAGGGATAGAAGGTAACACAATATCACATTTATAAGTATATCATCAAAAAGATATATAGTATATAATAGTGAGATGGATCCTTACTGTCTTAGATAATCATTAATAATTGATTAGTACACTAAGAGACAGATAGATTATATCCTATTAATACACTCATAAGCCTGCAATTCTTACTGTATAAAATTGAAGATAGTCAGGCTGTATCCCTACCTCCTTGTCAACAATAATAAAACAGGCGTCGATGTCAGCCACGGTTCGTCATGTAGTCGTCATAACCACGAATGATAATTTTGTTACTAATATGTCATTGAATCTTTCTTCTTCAACAATTCTCCATGTATAGTATCTGAAAATAATGTGCAGGTGTGTAATATGCAGCACATATATTGCTCCCGGGGCCAAGAAAAAGGGGGTTTTCCACGGGAATGAGTGGAACGATCTCGACTCGTCAAAATTGCAGGAACTGGGCGTGCAGGAGCTGGAAGAAAGGTTCATGAGGGGCAACGATTACTGGATGAGCCTATTCCGGCTGAGTATTCTCAGTTCCTATGACTGTCCTCTTTTCCTGCTCTTTTCTAACCAGCAGTCGTTTATGATCCTGACAGTTGCCACCATCGCATCACGGGCGTCGGCCAGAAAGCGGCAGATCTAGGCGGCCGCTTATCCTGGGGACAATACGCGGTGGCCCAGGAGATCAACAGAGCAATTATTGGCACTTGCGAGACATCCTCGGCCGGACCTGACAAGACAATAATCGCCGTGCGACCCGCGCGGTGGTCGCCGGGGGACCAACCGAAGATGAACTGGCGGACACTGGCGATGGCTGTTCATATGCGCTGTTGGAAGCTTGCACGGCATATCCTTGGCCCAGGCCTCGAGACAGAGTATCTGCAACCTGCTGTGGCGCTGCTGCTAATCCAGGCGCGGGCCAGAAGTCCCGGTAAACGAATGGAGGATGAGTACAATCGCGCAGATGGTATGTCTATATTCTTTATAGAAGTACTTTCTAAGGCGAACGACACTTTCAACACTACTAACACTACTCAGAAGAACCATTGAAGATAGTCAAGATGAAGGATTTGATCGAAGGTTATGGTCGAGGCAAGCGAGGGGAGGATACGGATACTTCCTTGGACGGTATGTCTATATTCTCTGTATGGAGTGTCTACTGATACTATGTACTGCCAAGATGAGCCGTTGCAAGTCTTCAAGACAAAGAGCCTGATTCAAGCTTCTGATCCGGCCAAGGCATCACCTGAGCCTTCCTCTACCCTATCCCTGTTACCGTACGACATTCGCTGTGAGATTCTGGGCTATCTGGACCACCAGGCCGTCTCTCGGCTACTAGAAGCAGTCGAATACCCGCTGGAGGATTCGTATTGGCGCTCGCGGGCTGCATTTTATCTACTGGGGATGGATGATATCATTCACAAACAGAAAGAGGTGGATTGGCGAGGTTTATGTCTGGCAGCAGAAGGACTAGACGCAGCCACGGACGTCTTCAGGATAAGGCATCGCGTGGTTGATACCCTCATGCACGTCAAGGCCCAGTTGCGCCGGGTTCGCAAGGGGGACATCTCCATCTCCCTACCTGGAGTCTTTGATCAAGTCCAGGATGAGATGCTGATTGAGTACCGGGACAACAATTGGGCCAATATCCTGGGTGGCGGTGGCGAGGTGACGTCTGACATAGAGTATTTACTTGATGTTGGTGTTGAGGATCCCGATCCAACCTGGACATGAGGTAGTTAGTTGTTATTTATTCGAATGAAGTCTAAAATATGTAGATCTGATCTGCTGCTCGGTCATTTTTGAATTAAGCCACGGATCAGTATATAGTTGATCGGGGCAGCAGGCTACCTTTGGTATTGAATTATTTATTGAAGGCCCTCTAAGGGTAATAAAGCTTGTCCTAGTCGCTGTAGAAATGCACCTTCACAGGGTCATTGGTTCTCTGGCATATAACAAAAAGGTAGGCTACTCCATATTGAGTACCGTAAAGAAAGAATTGGCATTATTACCTTATAAGCTTGATCTTTAGTTCTTTGTTGAGTTATTAAGATATGGCTCAATACCTTCTATAGAGGCACCCTAGGAGCTAGAATATATTAAAGGGGGTAATCTATCAGTAAATCATCTGAACTCTGAATCTATAAAGTAAGACTTGGTTTCCTGGTAGCGCATATTCCAGAGCAGCCTGATGCCTTTTGATCATTTCTCCCTCCAGAAAAGAATTAATAATATTCTCACAAAGAAGTTTTTATGTGGCTCTTCTATGTAAAGGGGTTTAATATAATGGACGGTAAGGTTGTAGTTCAAGCCACGATATTCAGAAGTAGTGGAAGAATCGAAACCGTGGTACTGTGCTTTGATGGATCATAAAAGGGAATATATAGAGCATATAAAATAAAAGCCAGCTTTCATTTGCATAATTACATACTAAAGAAATTAAAAGGGGCGGCTCTGACCAGATTGTAGGAACAGAGCAGGGCCACATACAGAATCACCCCCGATGTTGTGACTGCAAGGCAAATTACTGCTTCTTTGCCTCGGCAATGTCCACAAAGACATGTCCCAAGGGCCCTTCCTTGGGACTCCATCCCCCGCACTCAATTCTGTACTTGTCACTGCTATCCAATATCTCAACTACATTATTGTGTTCTCCTCCACGATTCTCCCAATGAAGCTCACAAATCTTATCCCTGCCATGGAAAAGATCCAGGCGGCCCTCGCTGCCACGGCGGCCGCTGGCATTGATCTCGCCGATGCCATCAGAGGGGATGACGATCTCGTCAATCTCTTCTTCGGAGAGGGACCGGCGGCGATCATCAGGGCTCCAGAACTCACCGCTAGGAGGAAACTCATTAGCAGAGATACTTTGACCACTTGGGAGGGCATTCTCATAGATACCCTTCGATGACGGTGTGCTGGACTAGGACCTCGCCATCCTTTAGGTGGTCTCTAATGTGGATGGAGACCCATTGGGAGTTGTACTTGTCCATAGTGGTTGCAATTGAACTTGTTTCGGTGTGTATTGGTAGAATGAAATGGGTCTGGTTTGCGGGTGTATACCCGGAGTTTATACCTCACCAGAATGTGGGGGGTCACACCATAATGGGGAGATGTCGTTGTCATACTGGACACGGTCACATGACATGATTGGCTGATGATCGACGGGACCATGGCACCATCCTGGTTTGCCACTCCTCAGAATTGCGGGGTTGCGTTGCCCCTCATTGTACAGGTGCAGCTTGATTCTTTCAGTAGATTCGTCTGCGGGTTGTTTGGGAATGCTGGCCATTGGCTTTGATGGCCTGGGCATTTGCAGCTCTGCTGTTGAGCTCACGAGACCAAGTGGGTGGTCGTAGTGGGTATTAAATGGACACGGACCACTCGCCTCTTCGGAGGTGGATTTATTATGTTCCGCGATAGCCTCCCTAACCGGGTGGCCCGACACCATGTCAAGAAATGTCCAAGTCACTATGTATTATATAGGATAGCTACTCTAGTCCCAACCTATTCACAATTACTGCATTTTAGGGGATTTAAAGCTGTGATGATGATTTATCTTGTACCTGTTGTAACCTAAGGCAGGCTCCTATCCGCACAGCCGGATGCTCAAACCCCAAACTCTCTTTCCTCGTCATGCCCCTCCATAGTGCTATCTGAGACGCGGGGGCTGATTATTCCGTAGAGCAGAGTTCTACAACCAATCAGCAGCTGCCATCCTTCATCCCCGCTTCCCCACAAATCCTTCTCCATTCCCCGTCTTTGTTCTAGTACTATTCGTATTATTTGAGTTTCCTGCCATTGCCTGCCTTTGAACTCTATATTTGGTCGTTGATTGCGTCAAGGGTAGTTGGTGGAGAGTTTGGAGCAAGGGCCAGGCAGTGTGGAGGTCATTATCTTTCTTAATGTGATAAGAGATTATTAGTTGGGATTATCTTCATAGAGAGCACTGAATGTGTAATAGGATAGAAATTAAAAGCTAGTTGAATGTGTAGTAAGTAGGATAGAAATTAATATCCTAGTACTGGGTGTTGATTCAGCAGGCATGGAGGGGGAGTTGAAGTCTCTAGCTCGGGTTTGACTGCCAGCAAATAATAAAGCCATGCACCTGCTGCCCGCGGCCTGATTCTGCCGGTTTTAGTTCCCCGGTTCCCCATTGATTTTCCTGCCCTCACAAGATTATGAGATTTAAGCACCACCAAACTGACAGTCACAACCATAGGCAACCATGTACTAATGGACTAGGTGAAGGAGATCTTGATCTAGGCAGGCCCTGGGTCTAATTATAGCTAGACGCTGGCAGTTTATTCATAGAGTAATTTAATTAAGGCTACAGAGTAAAGTCCAGGGCAACAGAGAATGATCTGTCACAGAATTGAGGGACTGCCACTTACGGAGTAAAATTGAGATTAAACTGTGGATAATCCGCCCCCATGATCAGCACGCGCTAGTTAGTTATCTAGCTAGCCACGTAATAAAGCAAGTTAGGCAGAACCCTTCTATATTTCAACAGCTATTTTAGGTGGATTTAATTATTTTGACAAAATCTAGGGGGCCACTAGACCGCTGAGCCACTAAAAATGTCCAGACATTATTTAGGGTCCTATATGGTCATTTATTCCTGTCACAATTATTTATTAAACCTGCTAAACTCTGCTTATTCTACCAATGACAGATGAAATATGCAATATTTAAGACTGTTCATGTATATAGAATTCTCTACATCAATACTTGAATATGTAGTATTCAAACTTCAGCCTGGGACTAACAACAAGGGTCATGCACGGTTCACTAGGCCATGCTTATTATAGCATCTAGCACCAGGCAGAATGTTTCATCAAGTCAAAGCCGTCACATGACCATCTTCTTTTAAGATATAATTAAGTTACGAGTTAGACAACTAGACTAGCTTGATATGCCGAGCGGTACGAGTACGAGAGACGCCATAGCAAACTGCCTGTTGACTTCCTTTTCCCTTCTCTTGTCGGGTCAACTGAATGATGGACAATTCACAACATGGTTCGGAGCCAGAGGCTCTGCCTGTGTACTCGATATCTCCACATGACGGCCACATCAATATCGACCTGGAATCCAGGATTGCCCAGACGCTCGCGAGGATTATCGAGCTCGAGACGGAAGACGAGCATCACCCGCCGCCCGAGTACACCCCCCCAACACCAACTGTGACGGGGTGTCCCGTGAAGCTCAACATCGTCATCCAGATTGTGGGCAGCCGCGGCGATGTGCAGCCGTTCCTGGCGCTGGGCCAGGCCCTCCAACAACATGGCCACCGGGTCCGCATCGCCACGCATGAGGTATTCGCCGACTTTGTGCGCGGCGCTGCCGGCGGCGTCGAGTTCTTCCCGATAGGGGGCAACCCGGCAGAGCTGATGGCATTCATGGTGAAGAACCCGGGCCTGATTCCGCAGCTGAAGACAGTCCGCGGGGGAGAGATTGCGCGCAAAAAGGCGATGGTGGCAGACATGCTGGAGGGATGCTGGCGGTCGTGCCTCGATCCCGACCCGGTCACTGGCCGGCCCTTTGTGGCCGACGCCATCATCGCCAACCCGCCCTCGTTTGCCCATGTCCACTGCGCGCAGGCCCTGGCCATCCCCGTCCATCTGATGTTCACCATGCCGTGGACGAGCACCCGCGACTTTGCCCATCCGCTCGCCAACCTGCGCTCCGCCTCGTCCATGAACCCGCGCACCGCCAACTGGGTTTCCTATGGCTTGGTGGAATGGCTGACCTGGCAGGGGTGAGTTTGCCCTCTCTGCGCTGGTCCTGGATCACTAAGAATAACCTGAATATGTAGCTTGGGCGGCGTGATTAACCGCTGGCGGGTTTCCATCGATCTCGACCCGATTCCGACTATCAAAGGCCCCAGCCTGGCGGAAGCCCTAAAAATCCCTTTTACCTATTGCTGGTCACCGGCTCTGGTGCCCAAACCGGCGGATTGGCCGGCTTACATTGGTATGATTCTTCGTCTGGAAATAATTCTTCTATGCTGATTGACGGGTGTCTAGATGTCTGTGGCTTCTTCTTTAGGGACCCTCCTCGCTTCAACCCCCCCGAAGATCTAGAAAAGTTCCTGCAGGCAGGCCCGCCACCGGTATACATCGGATTTGGCAGCATTGTCGTCGAGGACCCTCAGGCGCTGATCCAAACCGTGCTGGACGCCGTGACGCAGTGCGGTGTGCGGGCTATCGTCTCCAAGGGTTGGAGCAACATCATGGGCGACCAACAGGACCATGTCTTCTATCTTGGGGACTGTCCACACGAATGGCTCTTCCAGCATGTTTCCGCCGTAGTGCACCACGGAGGAGCCGGCACCACCGCCTGTGGCCTGTTCAACGGGCGTGCAACTACCATCGTCCCTTTTTTTGGCGAGTACGTCTTCTGTGCTAAAACCCTAACCCTAACCCTAACGTTTTAATATGTACTCTATTGACGAATAATAGCCAACCATTCTGGGGCAAGATGGTCGCCCAGGCCGGGGCAGGCCCGGAACCGATCCCATATGCCTGTTTAACAGCCGAGAAGCTCGCGGCGGCGATTCAGTTCTGTCTGACGCCCGAGGCGACAGCGGCCGCGCAGGCTATCGCTGCCACAATGCGGGCTGAGTCGGGCGTGGCAGCCGCGGTGAGCTCGTTCCATCGCAATCTGCCGCTGGACCGAATGCGGTGCAGTCTGATGCCTAATCAGCCGGCTGCGTGGAGATATACCCGCCGTAAAGATCTGCTTCTCTCCAAGGCTGCTGTCAGCATCTTGTTGAAACACGGCTGCATCAATGAGAGATATTTAGTCCTGTGTGTTCCCCCCTTTCATTCTTGATTTTTCTTCTTTCTAATTTCTAGGCATCGTGTCAAGCCAGTCGTGATTGAAAACCGGCGTTGGGATCCATTAACAGGCATGGCGGCATCCCTGACATCCACCGGGTCCAGCATGCTGCAGTCGACTACTGACATGCTGGTTAATCCATACCATGCGTACCGGCGCCAGCTGCCATCACTAAGCGCTGAACGGTCATTTTCCAGCGTGGCACTCACGGCCGGCAGCATGGCTGGTGCGAGCCTGCAGGGATTCGGCAAGTTCACGGCAAGCTACTTCAAGGGTGTGATTGTCGATTTCCCCCATGCCGCCGCTGAGGGCTTCCGCCAGGTGCCGCGCATGTACGGCGAAACGCCGACGGACTATGGGCCCATTGAAGACTGGAAGTCGGGCATGGTGATGGGCGGGCGCAACTTCTTCGACGGCTTGACCGATGGCGTCGGCGGCTTTTTCGTACAGCCGGTCCAGGGGGCCAAGAAAGAGGGTGCCTTGGGTGCGATCAAGGGGGTGGCCAAGGGTACTCTGGGGCTGATCACTAAAGTACCTTCTGGTAAGTCTTTTATCCTCTTTATACTGTCATCAGAATAGTCCTCACCGTTGCCTAGCTGGCATTGGATTGGTAGCGTATCCGTTTGAGGGCATCGCGAAGAGCATCGAAGGAGCGTTCAAATCCAAGACACCCAAGGCGATTGTGCGTGCCCGACTGCACGATGGATATGCCCAGTTGCAAGCAATGGGCTTATCTGAAGAGGAAGAAGATCGAGTTCTCCAGGCGTTTGATACAATTCTTTAGATGGGGAGCATTATACCAATTCTAACTTGCTCATGTTCTAGAAACAGTACTTATATACCCTATTCTCATTGAGAATGCTATAACTAGCAGCTATCAACAGATATAATATTTATCCTTGGATGAGGTGGTAGTGGTATGTATATAAGTATATTCCCTTATATAGCTAAGATAGTAGAGTAAATTATTAGGAGCCTATACAAGGGTAAAGAGGATGATAGTAAGTCAGGCTCCAAGTAGAATTGATCATAATTGTTCACTTGATATTTACATGAGATTACAAAACTGAATCTTGACATTATTTTCGTCCTCTCATCACTATTAATTCAACAACCTATCATCCTATACTTACAACCCTAAACCCTAAACCCTAAGTCACTCGCGACTAGATGAATTTGCCGCTTCCTGTGCAGCGGGTGAGGGGGAACTGCTTCTTAACACACATGGTGATGGCCCCGGACACCCACGAAACACCGGCATAGGAGCCCTGTTCAAACGAGTCGGCCATGAAAGTGCCACTCTGGGTCTGGGAGCCGATGCAGCCGGTCATGGTCTTGCCGTACTTGCGGTTCTTGATGGGCTTGGTGATCATGACGCCGGAAAAGCCATTGGGGACGTTGCCGTTGACCTGGATGACGGTCTGCGTGGACCAGGTGCGCGTATAGTCGATCCCCGTGCTGATCGCACTCAGCTTGGAGGTGATTTCTCCCAGGTCAAGGCCGGCGCTGACCGAGACGCTGTTGCTGACGCTGTAGCCGGAGCTGACGTAGACGTTGAGGCCGTTCGTGCCAGTGCCGATCACGACGGGCGACATCTGCACGTCCCAGTCGATGAAGGTCTGCGTCGAGGTGGTCACCAACGCAAGCGTCCTGCCACACGAGACTTCGTCGCGGGCCTCCAGATCAGAGCTGAGATCAGAGCTGTTGAAGCTGAGGAAGGATTCGTCCACCTCAGGGGCCTCAAGGGAGATTTCCTGATCGGCCAAAAGGCCGTGGAAGATGCTCTCATGGACAACCTCCACTATAATAACATATGGGTCAGTGACTGGCAGATTGACGATCTTGGAAAGACATACTGCGCCCTTCGCCGTAAAGAATGACCTCATCTGGCTGCAGGACATAGTCCGGGGTCCATATCGTGCTGTTTAGAGGCTTAGCCCCGTCGAGGACTGGTGCTGCCCTGGCAGCAACCACCAGGAAGGCTCCAACGAGGGTTGATAGGAACATTATGAGATCAAAGGAAGATGAACAAGTAGTGAATTTGATGAGTTGTGGAATGAGATGAGGCAAGACGAATGGACACCGGTCAACCTTTATAGATCAATGCTGCAGCATCATGAGGACCTCGTGGGTTCATCTCAGGTTGCTATTGCTTGATCTGGTGTGGAAAAGAGGCCTCCATCTCCACTGATACGTAGTGAGACATGCCCACTATTGCGAGAATAATACCTGCAGGATGGCGGTGATATCCCGAGCTTTGATATCGCACGTTGTGGGTTACATGTACAGGTTTGAAGAGAGATCGTCAGATCTATTCCGAGTATAGTCGGCTCACAATATACCGAGATACGGACTGTGACCTGATTAATCTCTGCTAAACACCATCTTGACCCACCATCTCATCCGAACTTGTGCCTGATCCTGGCAATCACATCGGGAATAGAAATGATCGTCGCCAGGTGAGAGTAAAATAGATTAGGCTTCCAGGGTTCAGTGCAGATCCCTAACATATAGCTTGTAACTTTATTCCATACTAGGCTTAGTTGTCTTCCAGAAGAAGACAATTTCCAAGACAAGGCGAATTGCCAAGAGAATGGGCGGCTTGTGATTGAACGCCAAGAACAGGGACCCTGCATGAGGCAGCCATGTGGGCTCGGGTTCGTAAGATGTGATATCCAGATAAGAAGTATATATAATGGTAACTAATATCTTAAGAACATCATCTCATTCCCTTGGACAGGATTCCTTATATTCTCTTAATCACATCTTCAATATGCATCTCTCTACTGTGTCGTTTTTCCTGGCCCTTGCCAGTGGGTATGTTGATATATTTATTGCATTTATTCTTGATCCCAGCTAACCTCCCAGCGCCGTTGCCAATCTGCACGACATGGCAGTGTGCGTGGTTGATCGTGAAGAATACTATGTTGCCCCCGTTGGCGGTATCGGAACCAGCTACAGCTGGTCCAAAGACTACACGATCGACACCACCGCGACCGAGTGCGCGTGCAACTACTACAAGGCGCGCAACACGGGCGACAAGCAGTGGGACAAGTGCCCCGATTGCACCTTTGACGGAACCTACTGTAACTCTGCTGGGTGGCACATTGGTGGCGACGAGGTGAGATTGATTGTTCCGAGCGACGTTGAGTATGGCTGACTGTTCTAGATGAACTATTACTGCAAGGATCTGTGCCATGCAGAAGGCTCCGAGGCCAACTAGTTGAACGTCGGCGCTATGTACTATTATATATGCTAATTCTTATGTTCATGATCATATTAGACGGTATTTTGGCATATAAGATAGGAGGGATAATATACTGTAGTGTTTTGCCTTGACAAGACTGATAAGGTAAAACAAGGAATTATAGATAGTGAAGACAGACAATGACATAATGGTACATTCCTGCGAGATCAAAATATACTAATTGCATCACATACTATTCATAACTCTGAGATGTGGTGGTGTTGTCTCGGGAAACCTATTGCCTGAGAAACCTCCACACATGCTCGAAGGGGGTATCCTTGAGGAGAGCAGACACGTCGCTATCTGAAAATCCCATCCCCATGACCGTGTCGACTGCCTCTTGAACAGTGCAGTGACGGCCTTCCAGCATAGGGAGTACTATATCTCTCATCCTCAAACCCCCTTTGAGCTCGCTGACAGCCCTGATGAAGGTGGCCCTGTCCCGCATCGCCTGGCCAAAGTGGTCCTCGATGAACCCGATGACCTCCTGAATAGTTTTGTTACCCAGGGCTTGGCGCATGAGCTCGAGTGTGCAAGCCTGGAATTGATCCTTGACGACTCTGGCAATCTGCTCCAAACTGCTCAAATCTGCGGCCGAAATCATCACCTCCAATGGTGGAAGGTCCAATCTGAGGTTCAAGGCATAGGCATAGGCCTGTACTCTGCAGTTAAAGGATGACTGATTTGTTGTCCAAGGAGCATCCAACTTGAGATTGATGTGCCCATCAGCTAAAGAACATGCCTGGGTGTTCCCGCCGACGCTGATGTCGATGGTTCCGGGGAAGCTTTTCACATTCATGTCAAGGTTGAGGTTGATGTGTGAGGCGAAGCGACAATCTGCCGTGAGGTCGAACGTGTTGCCTGTTCCATCAGCAACATGTTGATTCATACGGACTGTAAAGCCCTCTTTGTTGACCAATGTATAGATGGCCATCTGCACTCCGAATGCCTGCAGATTCCCCGAGATGAACACTGGAGGATCACTCTTTGCATCCGTCGAGATCAACATGATCGGCCCTTTGTTCAAAATGTCAGGATCAATACCGGTTTGTTTTGGCGTTGGAATCGCCGGGTTATTGGCGTTGCTCGTGTATCCAATATCGTTGCGACCAATGTGGAACATGCTCGGGCTACCTTTACAGACAGTGATGGGCGACATCAAGGCCAAGATGTGGAATCTGGAGGTGGAGATGTCGATGAACGCATAGGCCGACCACACTGCATTTTCCGACATCACTATACAGTCAGCATCCTCTTTGTTCATTGGATTGGATTCCATCATACTCAAACTCATGTCTCCTTCAAAGTAAATGCGCTGTTTGAGCGGGGTGTTGTTGACGGCAAGCATATCACGAGGCACAATCTCAATGGCGAGACGGCGCAGATCGAGTCCGCCGTGGGAGATGATATTGCTGACGGCAGGCGGCATGGTGATGCCTCTTGCGAACACCTCAATCAACTGGGGTACGCTGAACCGCTCGATGGAGCCCTGGAGATATGAGTTGGCAGGGTTGCCTTCGGAGAAACGGACATTGATACTGTATCCAAAGGTTAGCAATGTTCATGGAACGAAACCCTAACCCTAACCCTAACCCTAACCCCCAAGACTCACCTGCTTTGAAGATCATTGATTGTAGCCAGACGGAGAGAACCGCTGAATCCGAACTGGCTAGGCAGCCCCTCCTGAGCAGGGTCAAACGTTGCCTCGACCGCAAGATCTGAAATTTCCAATCCCTCAATGCCAAACAGATTCGGGAAGGCAGTCGGCACCGCCAAACGCAGCTGCAAGCCGTGATTATCCAGATTGAGTCCCATCGCCGCTGAGGCTTGGACCGGAGTCGCGCTCACCGAGGGGAAGGAAAGCACAAAGTCGGCCTGGAAGCCGATGAACATCCCAGACCCTGCGTTGGACTCCACGACAAAAGAACCATTCATGATGACGCTGTCGTGGAAGAGGTTGATCGACTTCAGACCCACGGCCACCATGAAGCCGGTGTCGGAGATCATCCCGGCAACATTGATCTCCTCTACCTTCAGGATGCCTTTTATCACGCGCAAAGCGGAGGTATCGAGCCGGATCGTGGAGCTGACGGCGAACCCATTGCGGCGTCTGGTCCACTGCGGGCTGGTTATCGACTCCATGGGAGGGAACGCAGAGGCGTCAATGGGCCCCAGGAAGATGACGGCCTGAGTCTTCTCGAGCTTGAGGTAAGGGGATAGTGTGTCTTTTAGCGGAGTGAGCGACAGGATGTCGTCCTGGCAGACGAGCCCGAGGCTGAAGTTATCAGTGGATGCAGCCAGGCGGATGTGCTTGAAGATGAGCCAGTCTGTGTCAGCCGTGAAGAACACAGACGCCGAGCTGGTTTTCTTGCTCTTGGCAAGAGATAGAGTCATGTTCCAGATGGAAATGTCCATCGCGTTGCTGACGCTCTCCAGGCCGCAATCCTTCAGTGCTGTCGACAGCCCGGAGACTATCTCAAGGAGGGAAATCCGGCCGGGATACGAGCCGGCTACAAGCCATTCAGTGCTGCTGTATGCTGCACAGAGAGTGGCCGGTTCTTTTATCTGTATAATGTCTGTATTCAACTTTGCCTGACCATAGATTTGGAAGCCTGATCCGTTAGCATTGTCCGTAAAGTCATAGTATCTTTCATATTGATGGCTCACCCTTCTTGATGTCATAGGGGAGATCTGGAATATCAGCCTCTGGTTTGTCCATGTTACTGGCGCAGACGGCCAATCTGTTCAGCTCCACGTCTAGAAACGTGCCCTGCAGCTTCTGGGAGACATTCCGGAGAAAGAAGCCACCCTGGTAACCACCATAGACTGTATATTCCAGTCCACGGGCGGATTTGACAAGGAAGACGCTGACGTCGAAGCGATGCTTGTTCTCAACGGTGATCATCCCTGTGAGCTGCACCTTAAAGGCTTCCTTGGTGATGGAAAGGTCTAGACCCGCAGCTTCCACCGTGGGTAGATTGGGAATGTCCAGGTTCTCAATAGCGCCTGTGATCTTGATCCCCTTGGGCCCCAGATGGATCAGAGCAGCAGAGGACATATGGCCGTCGACAGTGACAGCCCCCGTGAGAGTGAATCCGTCTTTGGTCGAGATGAGAAGTGATATCTGGGAGAAGTGAACATCGTGCGAGGTCTTTGTCTGGACGGTGGTGTGGAACAGCTTCTCGTAAAGATTCTGGAGGGTCTCCAGGCTGCAGTTCTCCAGTGTCCCTTGCAATTCCACATTGTCTGCTTATCAGAACATAGTCAAAGATCTATACTTGGGCCGAGCTCCATACCTTTGCTGTATTTCCCACAAAGGGCGACCGTTCCTTCGCTCAGTGCAAAGCAACCCGTCAGATCCAGGGTCACTGACGAGACATCCGTTCCCTTCCAGCTGGCGTTCAGCTCCACGGATTCCAACTATTGAGTCAGCATGTGGAACGTCTCGATATATGGTTGGTACAGGCTTACATCCAGTCCTGGGAGAACATCTTCCCATACCGACTCCACCAGAATGTTGATGCCGTACAAGTCTTGGAACTTGTGAATGTACCATGAGACATCCACATCAGACAAGACCCTCCCAGCTCCAAAGAAGCCATAGCCAAAGTCATAATCTCCCTTTCGGCTGCGGCGGGTACCCATCAGATCGACTCCTAAATGCGTGATGGTCAGCACATCAAACAGTGTGACAGAGACCTCGGGCAGTTCAGCCTGCAGCCTGAACCCCAGGGGCTCTGGCACCCGCAGCAGGCAGTCCTGGCGGCCACTCAGCATTCCTGAGAACACAATACGCGGCCGATTCTGGCCGAGAACGTCCTGTAGGAAGGTGTTTACGGGCGTGAGCGGGCCCGACATGAGCACGGTGGTCGTGATGGCCAACTCGGTGGCCATGTCGGCGGTTCCATCGTCCACTGCACAGTAGGTTAAAGTGGTGTCCTCGAGTTGAATGGCGTCAAAGGACGAGCCGGCTAAAGAGGGGATCAGGTTGAGGAAGCTGTTGAGGTGAGGGACCTTGAGGATCAGATAGGTCATGGAATCAGAATGAAGGGCATAAACGTCTGCTGAGATCAGGCCGAACAGGTTCATCGTCTCGGAAAACTCGAGCTTCTGCCCATCAGCCGTGGAGATTGCTGGCTTCTGTATAGATTCGTTCCCGGCACCAGGGGCAGACTCCTCTGGTTCGGCTGTCTGGATTGATGTCTCTTCGAAGATCTGACCAGCAGCCAGAGATTCCATGCCATCAGCATCATTCAATAGACGAAATACCTGGCCATCAGGGACCGTAGCGTCCTTTGCTTCAAACACGGGGCCATCAGCAAGAAAAGTATTCCCTGGAGCGGTCTTGAGGAAGACTTCTGCGCTTTCCATGCCGAAGGTATTCTTCAAGTCAAGTTCCTGCACCTCCAAATTCATCCCCGACTCACCCGAACTTTTGACCTGGCTGGGATCTGTCTTAATGCCCTTCCGAATTTTTTCATACTCTTCATCAGATCCAGCCATCTCGGACAGTTCTTCCTGCCAACGCTTCCTTGACAGGTTGGGCAATGTTGTATCCCCAGGCTGAACCGCACCCTTTGCCTGATTGTGTTTCAGGGTAGGCCCTGGAATGAGTCGCCCCTCGTTCGTACTGTCCAATCCATTCAACACCCATTTCAGGATGTACTGGTCAATCTTTGATTCCACGCGGCTGAAGAAGGACCTCTGAAGTGGGAAGAATTGCACGTCGAGACGAGGGGCTATATCGGGACGCCAACAAGCCACTTGCAGTGTATAATCCAGTCGACGGCACAGCCAGCGAGTTCCTTTCCACTCCTCCGGCCATTTGACTTTATCATCGTCGTTCTCGCCCCAGAAGATTTCGTTCGTCAGGTAAGCCTGTATGCTCTTTGGGTCGGTTTGCCCCAGCCTCAAAACAAGTTCCTGCCAGGAAGTTTCATATCTAGATCATCAGTATCGTTGCAAAAGTCAATAGGTATATTATAGCCTTACCGCGTCATGATCGAATTGCACTCATATGTGCCTATAATAAGATTATCAACATCTTGGGAGCTGCCCGGATTGTTGTTCAGCCCTCCCCAAGAATAGGCGCACCGATGAAGCCACTAGAAACCATAATTATTATAAGAATCATTATAATAGTATTTCAAACTTACCTCGGCTATCCATGTGCATGAGTTTGGCCAGCATTCATTCACCTTGTCATTCCCCTTAGGCCATCCCATACAGCCTTGGACCAGCTATTAAGAATAGTGAGACACTTTCAGGGTCGAGAGTTGAGGGACTGCCACTTACATTTGGCGCGCTGATACCCATAAGTTCCTTCTGTTGCTTGGCCCCTGTAGATGTTCGCTGGCCCTGAGCATTTATTATCTTCTGAGCGGAGAGCTTAATCTCAACGAGAGTCTTCGTCCGGTCTTTCGTTCTCAGATCCTCCTTTGTCTTTTTTTTTTCCTGGATAGCAGTCTGCAAGGCTTCAATCTGCCCGCTTTCTTTGAAGTTGTCGGGTCTGGAGGGTCTAACCTCATCCCACTCTTCCTTGTGCTTTTTCTCGATCCATGTTGTATAGTGGCCAAAGGGAGAGATTCCGATCTAAGCCAGCAGTCAGTCATCAGATCCCTGGACGTTCAAATCTATTGAGTTGGTTCCATACCTGGTGATACTCTTCCCCCTTAGGTGTCTCGCCCAAGATGTTTGCCACTCCATTTTTCTTGTATTTCGTGCCGCTGGTTGAAGACTTGATCTTGTCATTCGCATATTCCACAGCCTCCTTCATAAGCTTGTCGTAGTCCTTGGAGATCGGCAGAATGTACACTGGAATATCCACATTCAAACACCGGCCAAAACCGCTGCCCAAGCTCCTGATGGCTCTTCCATATCGGAAACACCAGTTTGCGGCGCTCTCACCACGTTTCCTGTCGATGGTGAAGTAAATCGGGCGCCCCGTGGCGTTGCGCACCCAGAACTTGCGCGGGTTGGACGTGGCCTCCATCCATTTCTGCACCAGCGCCTTGGAGATGTAGATCTGCTCGTAATTGCCGGTCTTATCCACGCCACCAGTCGAGCGCATGGCTTCAAGATCGTTATTCCTGATGCGGATATACTGCTCAGAGGCTGGCACCTGTGTCATGTCCACCTTGGGCATATAAAAGGCAATGCCTTGATTTTGCCACTCCTCCAGATTTGGATCATTTGGTACCTTCTCCCAGTCTTTCCAGTTTCCACCGAGGGTTTTGATGTCCCAGTTTGGGTTTTGCTGCTGGAATTCCCTCATCTTGTTCATCAATACAGTGCGTGACCCGGGATGTACTGTCACAAGGGTTCCATCTTCTGCCAACCTGCCTTCTATATTCAACTCCACTTTCTTTGATTCTGACTGATTCTTTGAGCCCAGCTTTGCGAAGTTTGTGCCTCTGATCAAGCACACGCCTTCCTTCTTGACTTTCTTGAATTTATTCTTTGGCAAAACTCCCCATGTTCCGTTCTTTGGCTTCTTCTCTTCTTCCATTGTCGGCTTTACAACCTTCTCCATTTTGGTATACTCGAAAATTCCCGGCGCGAAGTGTACTTGTGCTGTGATGATCGGTACATGGTGCTTGGTGTCGTTTGATTCGCGGAGTTTGTAGAAGTACGAAACTGGAATCTGTTCAGTATGCAGCTCCCATGCGTCCGGTATTTCCTCGGCATCGTCAACGAGCGGGATGACCTCTCCATTAGGTCCGATTTGATGGTCTGTGTCTGGCAATGGTTCCATGTTTTCGTGAGTGTAGATGAATTGGTTCTTGATTCTGGACATGGGCTAGAATGGGGCCTCCAGGTAAGTATTTATGTCAATAATTTCCCCATACTGGAAGCTGAGCGGGCCGGGAAATGCCAGTGACTGGTGTGCTTCATCCACATCTTTTTATCATAAAAATAAGTAATTTGAACCGACACTATCACCTAAACCGAGGGTGTGATGCCAAGCAAGATGGCTGTCGGTTCTATGAGCTCGGTTTGGACAGCCACTAAACCACATACAGGATAGCAGGAGATGAGATCTGAAGAAGATGGGCTGCGAGTCGATAAGAGCCAATCGCTTCTTCTTGTTTTTCCCATGCCTTCCGCCACATACACAGCACTCCGTATTCATTCGAAGTATACTCCTGGCTACTGTATATGCTACACAGTACGGGCACTCCGTATCGGTTAGTTTTAGAGTTGTTGTGGATCTTTGAGGACACAATCGAGGCTGGCTGAGCTGGCAGGAGTATACCCTTTCCAGTTTAGTGACAACCATATTGTATATCTATTGCACTAGGCAGATACAAACACTCGGGTAAACTAGCCACAGTTTGATGGAATCTACTGAATAGTCAGGTGTTTGTGGCTGAGTCCTGACACAAGCTGAATTCTCTGTCACACTCATGTTTGATGGCCAGTCCGGCCCCTCAGGTGATATAACGTGACACTAAGAGATTATTCCTTCTACGACTACTTGCGTGATTGTGGCTTGAAGGGCCAGGCTGGGAGGAGGCCAGAGTCCGAGATCTAGAGCAACCCCGCGTGTGATGTGATAGTGATTATGCAAAAGAAAATATTCCCCTCATCTCTCTTTCTCATCCATTACAACTCTCACTATCTCGGGTCCTTCATCCTATGTTCTATGACGTGCTTTGAATTGTCACCAACATCTGCGCAGGACTATCCTTATAATATTATGTCAAGGTTCCACGTAGATGACTTCACCATCCAGCTGAGAAACTATCCCATGACAATGGCCGGCAGGGCAAGCCAGCGTAGAAGCCATAGGTATATGCCTATTAGTAGATCGACCGAGAGGTGGATTAGGGGCAGAGTGATCCTTCCCTGGAAAAGAATGGAATATCGATACCATATTCTGTCTTTACAGCGAAAGAGTACTATAAGCCACGGCTGCTGAACTGCGACATCAGGTTGTACGAGGAGCCCTTTTCCTTCAATATGTGTCCAATGGAACACCGTCAGACATTTTGCTAGGCTATCTAATTAGCAGATTAACAGAGAGATTATATATAGTGAGAGTACCAAAATCCGAAAGGCCCTCACTCTGCCGACTACGCTGCGTGTTGAACCAAGAACCTCGGCGTTTGCGACCATAACTAGTCTTGTGCTTGAATTAGTGGAAACTATAACCAGGCAATACTCGCAAGACGTCTTTGAACCCGGATTTTACTATTATCTACATATAGAGAAAGACTATGAACAAATCAAGACAGGAAAGAAGAAGTCATGGCCAAGGCGTGGGTTAGATTTAGCTTGGGGCAGAGTGGAGTACAGAGTGCCCCATGTTATGCTAGTCGAAATGAAATTCTCTCGACTAGTGGAAGTTACTTCTGATCTGAAATATATAGGTTAGGGCTTCTTCTATTAAAAATAAACGCGAAGAGGTATCTTGCGATATGTTTTCCTTCAATAGAGACTTATTCTGTTGGATATACTTGGAAAGTATAAGCCCTAACCTGATACTAAGCCTGTGATGGTCAATAGTGAAAGGTTCACCTCCTAATATACTATCTAAATGACCCAAGATTCTGGAGACCTCAGATCATAATCTGACATTAGATTTTTCAGAACTCATGTGATAAGACTCCCTTGGCTAACTTAAACAGCCAAACATTGGCAGAATAATAAATACCTTGTAATCATGATATTTATATACTAAATAGGTATATAATCTAGTAAATTACATCTAGTTCACTGGGATAAATTACTCTCATAAAACAGTATCTTTATTTACTAAATTATGTGTTTATATTGATATTAGTCAAAAATCATTGCTCCTCATTTCGGGCTGGATAGGAATGCTTCTTTTCAGTCGTATCAACCCCCAACCACAGCAGGTCCGGCCGACTGTAGTGGCCACAGGCATCGACGAAATGCCGGCAGGCCAAAATCATATCAGACTTCAAGTCTACATAGAGAATCCCCTCCTCCTCCGCCGGCAGAGGCTTGGTCAAGAGCCTCCCGTCAGGCCCGATGACGGCCGATGAACCGCCGCCAGGAATACCAAATAATGGATCTGTGCATTTCATTGCTTCAATGGCTTTAGGACCCAAGATGGCGGTTGTATGTAGCACAAAGGATGCAGATTCAACAGCGTATACTTGTGACAACCCCAAACAACCTTTTTTTAAGTCAGATTTGATGAACATATAAAAATAAATGAAAGAAGCATACCATCAGCAGACATGCCCCAGAGGCTCTGCCCCCCCGAGTGAGGCTGCAATGGCGGCCAGGCAGACACATGGATCTCCTCCCGCTGTAGCATGGTATGGTACTTGAGTAGAGGCTGGATATGTTCCCAACAGGCCAGAGCACCAACCTTACCAATTGGCAGGCTGGAGACATTCAGCAGGCTGCGACCCGAAGCGTCGCCGAAGATAGTTCGCTCCATATGGGTGGGCTTGAACTTGCGCCGTTGCATGACGATCTGGCCCGTGGTATCGATGGTGCACTGCGCAATGTAGAGCGAGTGACCATCGCGTTCTGAAAAGCCAAGGGATACTGTTATCCCATGCTCTGCTGCTGCTTGGCAAATTCGCTGCATCTCTTCGGAGCCGTACGACAGGGAGTTGGTGATGTAGCGCCCGGCCATCTCAACATCAACGGGTCGCGACCTTGAGAGGTCAGCATTTCTGCTGATTTTTAAATAGTCTTTCTCCATGTCAACGTACCAGATCCATACTGGATATCCAGGAATCCAGCATTCTGGGAAGGTGACTAGCTGGGCCCCATTCTGGGCCGCCTCAGCGATCAATCGACATGTCTTGGCAACAGAGGCGGATAGATCAAGCCATTCGGGTTCCTGTTGGGTGACGGCGACGGTGACAGTGTTTTTCATGGTTACGTTCGTTCGAATCAGAGAGAGGATGGGAATTTAGAATTGAGACAGTCAGGGAAAATCCATGGGGCAGGAGTTTATTTAAGGTACTTGAAATAATGGGCCATGTGATAACCCTAGAACTGAGACATGCTATCCTATTATAGCTCTTTCTCCTAGCATATGGTTTAGTCACATGCTGAGCCAATTAGTTATCATTGTACCTAGTATTAACTTAACATACGACTTATCTTACTTTATCTATAAGGTATAATTGGTTATCTAATATTAGATGGCAATCAAAGCGTAATCAACAAACTACCCTCTGGAATCCCTACAGTACCCATGAAATAAGGTTCAACCAACCACGTTGCCGACGATGCCCCTTCATCAACATTTTCTTCTCTTCTGAGTCTCTTCGTATAGAGCCGCCTAATTGGATGCTACTCTATAGACAGTATTGTCTGAACTATCACGGTAGGTGCTGGCAATTGAAACCGGATTATCCAACCAATCCGACAGACAGGGATTTGGCTAATCCTGCAGATAACCAGAAACCAGATAGGAATTCCTGAATTTTATGATCTCTCTAGATTAGGCTTGATGCCAGTCCAATTAGGCTTAATGCAACGCTAGTGTGTTGGTACTAGGCCTAATTATGATGTCACTAAACCCAATTCCTCAGAAGACTGGGAATTGGGAATTTATGAAATTCCAAGGAGGGATAGAATCGGCCAATCAGAGCTTCCGAATAACCAGATCTGATCCCTTGTGGGTCTTGTTGGTCACAGTGCCAGGAAACCAAAACCAAAGATCGATACTAAAGCCTAAGATAATATAAAAATTATAATATGGATCATAAAGATTGCTTCAATCACTGAAACTTGAGATACCATATATGCTAATAATATTGGCTTTAAATGGCATACTCCAGATATCGCGGCTGGCGTCGGCAAATGCCTGAGTAGAGCCCCCGCAAGGCGGGCGCTGATGACTGCGTCCCAGAAGGAACAAGCTCATATCCTGAAGGAGTTGTGACAACCACCGCTAATTATGAACAGTATCAGGCAAAGATTGATATAGATGGCGAAGGTATATAAATAGCAAAGGTGAAAGATCTGAAGGGTTGGTCAACAATGAACAACCCGACACGAACCCCATCTATATCTAATCTTATGTACTTCCCTTATTTTTATCTAAATACTAATGATTTATCTTGTATAAAGACAAATCATGATAGAAATATATTAAACTAACTAACTAACTGGACAACAACTTGTGGGATTACATGAAAGTTGTGATATAGGTGCATGATAGCAGGGTTAGGTTCTTCTAAGATCCAAATAATAGGAAAGATCATGGAGAAAAAATAAAAGGGTCAGTTTAGTGATTTAAATGAAACTATATACCTGGCATTAGATATCCATATATCCACCATAGCTGGCATCTATTTATTATAACTTCGACAGTAGATATCTGCATGTTTTATTAGTCATAACTAATAATATAGCCTCCTTTAGCACCTTATAATGACATTATACTCTTGCTTTGTAATTTACTATAAATAGGGTAATTGTACTTCAGAAAAACTGTCACTATATAGTACCTAATATTGAAGAAATAAAGGTGAAGTATTTAAAGTCACTAATTTATGCTCTAATTTCTCTATACATTTATAAAGCATAGAGAGCTTAATATGGTGTGATCAGTCTCAGCTTATTTATACAGTGACTACATATAAGTCCCTCTAAGTAATCACTAACTACTACAGATTTAATCCATGCATTTTCAGTGAAGAATCAACCCCTTGTAATCATCAGCCACATCCCCACTACCAACATCGAGCGAAGCTTGAAAAGCCCTAAGAAGACTGCTTCGAGCTGGCCGGGCAATCAGCGCCAACACAGCAGGTAACAGAGCCTGACTGGCACTGGCCGTAGGAGTTGGCAGCATTGTCATCCGGGAAGGTGTAAGCGGCTCCCTCGCAGGGCTCAAAAAACGTCGTGGCCTCGGTAGCAGTCGTGGAAGCGCGCAGGGGGTTGATGCATGCGTTCTCACCATCAGGGTCCTAACGAGGCATGGTTAGTATATTAACCTCAATCCTCCAGGTAATGTTGACTTACAGGGCAAGTGTTGAGAGTGTATAGATTTTTGTTGCAACCTGTCAGGCTGACGTCGGTGTCGGTACACCAACACACAATAGCAACAGAGAAGCCATTGCTACCCAGTCAGCATATAGAGGTAAACACGAAAGTCCATTCCACTTACACATAACTAATATCAACATCAACAACAGCGACATCGTCCTCAACGACAAAACTCGCTTCAATCAAAGAGTCATCGCCAGTAATTTCATAATTGGCGTCGTTGATAGCAACATTGCCAGCCCAGCCAGTAGGATAGAGGACCGAAGCAGTGGCCCCGTTAGTCATTGTGCCTGGTCCGACGTCACCACTAACGGCCGTGGGACTGTCGGCAGCATGAGCATGGGAGGTTGTGATATCGTCACCGTGGCTGTTGATCACAACAAGGGTGAAATACTCCGGGGGGTCAGCAAGGGCGACTCCCTCCATGGTCGCAGGGACCGCGGTGGGGGGCAGAGGGAAGAAGATGCTGCTGGCAATGATGCCTTCAGTACCGGTGACAGCTGAGGGGGGGTAGGTGATGGCCATGGTGCTGGCGGCCAGGGCCAGCAGGCTTGCAATGGCGAAGCGAGACATGAAAATTTGATGATATAACCGAGAATAGGGGCTGTGGATGGAGCCAGATGATGATTATAATCCATTCAATGAAGTGGGTGACCATATCCTTTATATCTCTGTTTCTACAGACGCTATCCTCGGGGCTCAGGAATATGGCCCTGGAATAATGCATCTACCAAGGGACCTCTTCCTGCTGTGATGAGCAGGCGCATTAGCGAGATGAGATAATATAAAATCCCTAGATGTGAAAAGATAGTAGCCTATTAAAGATGTGCTGAGAGGCATTTTGCAGCTTAAGTGCGACAGAGTCTAGGCAATGCCTATTCGAGCCTGGAGCCGTGGCCTCATGGATGCATGCTCTACTATCACATCAGCCAGGCTATCATACTGTATTGCAGAATAAACAGGATGGGCATCCTTGTGGAGATTTGGAAAACATGCACTGAGACTTGAATTTGCAATATGGAAAGCTGACTGCTCACTGTTTCTAGCTACTATACTCTTCCACCTTATAACGGCTCACACCTGTTCCATATTATTATTCTGGGTATCACAAAGCAGAAGACATACCCTTTTATGATTTCTAGCCCTTAATCATGTTTCATATCTCTTTCCTGGCTCTATTCAGCTTCTCTTTACTACTCTACTTTATAGATTATAGAGTGGTGAAAATCTATATTTTATCAAGTATCAAGTTAGGCAGTGCCTCACAACACTAGGTGTACACACTATAATGAAGGCTATATGTAGAAATGGCTTAGTGCTCAGCCGAAGGATCTCCTGGTTACATTTAGGAATAAGACTTATACTGGACTAAGATAATATTAGACTAGTGCTCTGTATGAGGCGGCTCAGGTTCACGGCATCAGCATTTACCACGCTAATGCAGGAACCTATACTACATAGGCATGCTAAAAGGTGGGGGCGAAGGCTCTTATTCCACCACCTGCCTGAACTCACTATGGTATTCGCCAAACCGGTTACAAAGTGCAGGAATGAGGCCCTTGTTAAATCTCATGAGTGATTAATATTGGCTTAAATTTCTGCGAGGCCACGAGGGCGCTAGCAACCTCTCTAGCCGCATCAAGGATCTTTCATGAGGGCCCAGGGGCACCCAGCATGTTTCGCTGAGTGGACGGCACATCTGCCGAGTGTAGTGATAGCAGTTCCTTATGGTTGGGTGGCTTATTTAATGAAGCAGCATTTCAGAATGAAGTAGTAATTTGTAGGATAGTAGCATGACAAAGGAAATACTCCCAGATACATGTGAAGCAAGATGTAGATATTTTTGGTGAATTGATCAATAGAAGATTGATCAGGTTAATCAGACGCGACAAATAGTAATCAGCTGACAGAAAAAACCAGGCATATGGGCAGGTGGTTCCTGGAAATAGGTCGGAGCCAAGATCTTAAGTGGGGGCGACCCGGCCGGCCCAGTTGAGTGGAGTAGAAACAACCGGAATCTAAAACGCACCATGCTCGGCAACAATTATACTACCACCTACATAGAGACTTCTGCGAAGTACCTTGTGTGATACTTGTTGCTATTATTATATATTAGTAATTTTTATATAAAGTAATAAATGGTCTCAAGGGTGATATAATCAAGTTTCTGCACTAAATTATATATACCAATAAATATAATAGCCAGAGCTCTTTAGAAACAAAGCTATAATCGCTAAGTTGATTTGTATTATGAGAGAGAGCAACGAGGGATGACATAGCAGAAAACAGAACAGGGGGCGAGGAGAGTATACAACATCAGGCCATTCATCTATCTATTTAAGATATTAGTGACACAGGTAATGTGGCCCCCAATGGAATTGTACAAGATGTCCTTGCACCGCTAGAGATTAGAATGATAAGAAATATCGACACAATTTCCCTATACTAAGCCTCAAGCTTATGGCGGATCTATAGTATGTAGATAGGAGAAATAAATCATTCACGGCTCAAGAATTTCTTTAAAAGAGGGCCTTTATCTAGAATCCAGTGTAAGCATTCCTAAGGCTGGCAGCCTAACAGATACCTAATCTCAGCATCTAGTAGCAGAATCGACTTATAGGTTGCTTAGTAGAGGTCCATAGAAGCGCTGGGGCTCGTAGCGGCCTTACAGGAGCTGTCAGATCAGGGCCGTGAGGTCACAGAATAACGAAACCCCAAGAGACAACGCGGATTCCGTCTGCAATTAGAGAAACCCATTAGTTTATATAAATATACTGTCACAGTACAAGAACTGTGTCAGATAGAATGGTACGCAAAATACTATAATAAATCATCATTTCCCATACGCCTTGTCCAGTGGTGGAGCGTTGCAATGACTTAAAACTGAGATACTTGAAATCTGAAAGAAATATGACTAAACTAAATATCTGTAAACATCAAGATCACTAAGTGATATATTCATTCAAAACGTGGAAACCAACTCAAAATGCGAGAACCAGGAACAACACGAGCGTAACGACCGGCAGTCGCGGAATAGAATATATTGCCGGCCAATCCTTCAAGCATTGCCCTTGCATATCGAAGTTGTCTCAAATTGAGCTTGCCAGATTTCGTATGGGCGTTGTAGATAGCATCAAGCTTCTTCTCAAGGCCGATAAGGATCGAGCGCAGTATGGATTTCGCAGTTTCTCCAGATACATTGAGAATCTGCTCAAGGACCGCAACTCCGTTTGTAACCGGAGTTCCATATTCTTCAGCCTCTATGACCTCTTTCTCATATGAGTAGAGATCATTTGTGAGACTAAAGTGCGTCATATATAATGTATACATCTCACTTAACGGCAGTTTCTCTGAATCAGAGACCTCCACGCCGGTTGAAAGCTGTAACATTCCACTTACAGCACTACCATTTAGCTTGTTAGTAGAAAGATCTCATTTATAAATTTAAGAGACTTACATGCTCAGGAAGTCCTTGTTGCGATATTCCACATAGTCAGACCATACTGTAAATTCCCCGCCACTCCTTAGTGGATTTTCAAGTGTATGTTTAGCCCAGTGAAGTGCCCCATGAACAAACTGTAGACCACCATTAATATTCTCCTCGACGCACTCGTTAACCCATTCCTGGAACAATTGGTTTTTCCATTGTCGATGGTATGCACTTGAATCTTCAGGGAGAGGCTCAAACTCTTCTAGTGCTTCTCTCAGTATGTTTGTTCCCTGCTTACTGTTAGATGATCACTAGTAATAATGATGATATTATATAGAACATTCTTACCCGACCATGTCCTTTGCTGTCCACTTCATCTATCAGAAATATAAATATCAATATCAAAGCAAGCATCCAATGGTCTTTTAGGAATTAACTTACCATCATGAACAAATATAAACACGTTTCCCTTGGCTAAAACCTTAGCCTGGCTTGAGCTCGCTCCAGGAAACATATGGATTGGCGCAGAAACAGCACTATCCAGCAAGAGATGGTCACGTTCGTTCAATTCTTCTTGATCTGCATTCTGGCCAAAACGGATTCGACGCAGTAAATCTTCTGCAGCTATTCTAGCATCCTGCCAGTACTTGCTGTGAACAGCGATCGGGAAGGCGGTTGACCATGGTAGTCCTATTTCACGGGGGTTAAAGCAGACGCTGTTCTCAAGGCCTGGAACAATCTCCTGGCTGGCGTTTTTCAGATATGAGAAGAGATTGTTGCTACAGTTCACATCATGTGGGGCAGGATCAAAGAAAAAATTAAACGGCTTGAGCGAGGGCTTTGAAAACATGATGAGAAGTTTCTTCAGTTTCACTGAATATAGTAGATGATTGATGAATAGTATAAGCTGTTCTATCTGCTCTATGAAGAGGAGGAACTGAACTTCTAAAACATGCACAGACGATATTTATAGAGGGCTTTACTGATAGAATAGATATTGTTGTGCAGCTTGGATAGGAGCTGAAAAGGGGCATATCTCCAGAGAATTCCTACATCTTCCGAACCCACGTGGGACTCAATGGTCATCAATGCGTCATTGCGGTATTTTATGTGGTAGGATAGGAACTTATTCCTGCTCACTGTCTCTAATATCCTGGCCATTCTTTATGATATCGGGTTATAGACCAAATAGTGGTAGTATAGAATGCATAAGACTTCTATTCATCCAATAATATAAATGGCGCATATGAGCTTTAGGACAGACAGGGGACGTTAAGTCAGCTTTATAGTCAAGAAACCTACTATATAGGGCCAGGGGGTAAGATACTAAGGCATAATATGCTTACTTATCAAGGATGAACAAAGAAAGTGTCACAAGTGAGAGACCATTAAGATGAATAGGTAAAGAGGAAGAGTGGGCCAGTATAGTAGAACTAGATATTCAACAAAGACATTGAAACCGACCAGGATTAGGCTATAGGAGGGTGGGGTGGCGATAACAGAGCAATATACCCCAAGTTCATATATCTACTGTGGAGTGAAGGCCATGCATGTAGCAGGGGTCCAAAGTCTCAGATCATATGATAAATAAACCTGATTGGTCATACACTAGATTCCATAAACTGCTGGGCAGGTTGGGCAGCTGGCAGTATCACAATCTGCGTTGAATGATCGGCACGGTCCGTACGGCTCCTCCCGCTAGAGTCTCCAGTTTAGCCCCACCAGACGGCTATCTAGGTATATCAATGTTAAAATAATTTGCTTTAATGAAACTGGGGTTTTGAGGAATATTTTTATAGGGCATTCTAGATCGATTCTTGTAGTATAACAGTCAGGATCAGTTATCAGAGTAGTAGAGAAAAATGTGTACTAAATAGATTGGAGTAAATACTGAAGAAAGTAATTGCTTCCTAGGCGGGGACACACCGCCCTAGTACTAGGTGCTAGATAGTGAATCTTATCACTAATACCCCTCATTCTTCCTGCTTCTGTCTGGCTCCCTTTGTGTCCTATGGGCCGATCTGACAAATGCCCGTTGCACCTACTTGCAGAGCTAGCTGCAAGTTAACCTATATTAGTTAAATACTCCTGATTAAGGCGAATTCTAGTTGGATAACATGCCAAGAGAGTCGGTCCTGGGTATATCCTAGAGACCGGTCTGGAAAGCTTACTGCATAGACAGAAACCTAGCATAGAAGCTTGGGAATAGGACCAGTAGCAGCATCATTAAGCCCCTTCAATATGTCAACAATTCCATGATATATTGCGCAACAAACTGTCTCACATATAACCTGTGGAAAAGATTTCTAGTATCATTTGCTAAAGGAAGAAACATCCAAAAGAAAATCCCGAGTCCATCAATTAAAGTAGATACATGACTTGGAATAGTGGTGTGCCTAGTGACAACTATCACTTCTTCCCAAACTGGGGCAAAGGCCACCAGCTGGATCCCCTTTTCCTCTTGTGCATTTTGTCCATATCTACAGGTACGTTAGAGAGAGGAGTTATAACTACCGTTCCCTTGTCCAAGGTCTCTGTGAGCGATTTCCCAAAGAAGGGCATTTCCTTGAGCTCGTGGACTATGCGGTCCACATCTTCACGGGTAGGAACCTTGTCGGTCTTCTCAGCAATCGCCCCCTTGATTCTGTCGAGCTGTTCTTTGTAGGCATCCTTCTAGTTCCGGTATCGTTTCTGGTCCAGGTCACGGCGCTCTCGACCAGCTTGCTCAATCATATAGTCAAGATAATTGATGGTGGCGTCGTTGTAAGTGACCATGGCGGTTTGACCGAGATAGACAACAAACGTAGCGAGCGCTCTTTTGACCTGGGTATCTTCGGCCGTGATGCTCTTGAGATTCCCCTGCACACGCTTTTTATGAAGGTATCTCTAACCATCTACTCCAGCGGCCACTCTCCTACATTTAGGAACTTCTCCCCTACTATGTCTTTCTCATTCTCTATTCAAGGCACTAAGTCTAAGTCTAATTCAGGACTGGAATCGAAGATCGAATATAGCATCAATTTCATTCGGCTTGAACGCAAGGCATGGCGCCCTGAATTGGTCATGGTCTGAAAGAGCGATCATTGAGGACTACGTCTCCCGGACTTCCAGATACAAGTCAAACCCTGTACGAAATAATCTGATGTATCTGAACGAGAAAGGAGAACGGGAGGAACCTACACGGTGGACAAAGAAAAAGCTTCTTGTTCGGTACGTGAAGTTCTCCTTTTAGTATGTTGAATACAATAAATATTACCGACCACTAGTAGTCCCAAGGTGGCGGGAGAGCGCAATGATTTTGCAACGGCTGCGATTTGGGACCATAATAGGCAGCAAGTCCTAAATGCGAATGGTGAGCCAAGGACCTTGCAACTAATCGCTGTCAAACTGAGCACAAGGCCGCACGGATATCCTGGTGGTAAACCCTGAGGAGAACAACATGGAAGTATTCAGAGCTTCAAGGAGGTGGACCTTTGGTCAGCGATGTGTGTGGGTAAGGAGGCTCAATGGCTTCAATTTCGTTTTAGAAGGGCTGTTCTGCGTTATGGACCTAGTCCAGCTTCATGTATCTCGTCGGGTTTAAGCAGTCTGGTTCTCATATAGTCCTAGAAGTCTAGCCAGTATCTGAATATCCGAAGGTTGATGTTACGACCCTGGGGTCTCTAATTATCACTTGAACGGTTCGGTCGAGACTGGGGACCTAGTCTGTTGTACAATTTGGTTAGAAATGGGGGTCTTCATATTGCGAGGATATTGAAGAGTGTTTCTGGCTTTTGATTAGGAAATATATCTTGAATTAGCTGCTGATGATCGAAAGCAAAATTCTGCAGTCAACAATTAAATCATGTAATAAACATTTTACACACGCAGGTAGTTTTCATCATTATTAGTATTCTGATTCTGTATAACTATCGCGAATTAAAAATTATATTACATAAGGATAGATGTATATACCACCATTGGAGTTACGGTTTAGTATCAGATGCTAAAGAGAAATCATGAATATATCTCTGAGATGGCTAAAACCGTGAAGGTTGTTCATTCAATAACCACCAGTTTATATGATACACATCCAATGGCAGCTATGGCACATAATAAGCTTAGGGCACGTACTTGAGGACTCGACGTCGCAACGAAGTTCACAGCCGGGATCCACAGAAAGATAGTCCCAGGAGAATTGAATCAGGATGTTAACCCCGCAAGATCTATTTTAGTATTGATCCAGTATTGTAATTTACCGTATTGATTTCGCCATGTCATCATGACCTCTACAATTTTCTATGATGACGCAGATTGAATAGAGAACAAATTCCTATATTGAATAAGAACAAAAAGAATCATGTCTGAATAAGATGGTCTACACAAAACGCTTCCCCCCCCTTGCAGATTTCCCCCATGGGACGCTTTTCAAGAAAAATGAAGGCAAAACAGTCCAGATACAGGATTATATTGTGCAGCTCACAAAGATCCTGAAAGAACGCCATTGTGATGTGTCAGAAACATACGTTGTCGTCTTCGAAGGCGAAATGGATGACCAAACTGTTATAGTCAAGTTCCGATACGAACTCTCCACGCACCGGTATACCACCTCAGGAAAGGAATGGGCCCGTTCTAACGCGGAAGATCGCTTCAATAATGAATGTCAGGTAATGCTCGACTGTGCAGCGTCTGGTTGGAGTTTCTTGCCAGAACATATAGCACATGAAGAGCAAGTCCAAAATGAGCAAGATCCGAACCCGGGGGCGTCCCTGTTTGTGATCCTCCGGGGGAAGAAAGAGGGAGTCCAGCTCTTGACAGAGTATCGACGGTATAAGCCTTTAAGACTACATAAGGACGAGATGAAGTCCATTCGTCAACAGGTGTACGATGCACACGAGTAGGTCTGATGATTGAAAAGTCCTCATATAAGGACTCCGTTGATAGAAACTTAGACATCTCCGTCAGCTCCAGTGGACGGGGTGCACGGATGAAACAAATATCTTCTATAACGCCGAAACTGGAAAAGTGTAAGCTCAGCACCTATGAATAATACCCTAAATGAGTCAATATACTAAACTTCAAATCCGTCAGATTCCTTCTAGGAATAGGCTCCATCTTTTGGTATCCCGTCTCGAATTCCCGCCCGCTGGATCCAAGAGGCTTCCATTGGACCTTCAGGAACCTGCCGGACGAGTGGGAGGAGAATGAATGGTCAGAACAGGAGGACGATGAAATAACAGACCTTCAGCAGATGGCAGAAGAGATAGAGAGGTTATCACAGTATGAATCAGCAATCGCCACTGAGGGAAGCCAGGATCGGTATGAATGGATTCAAGAGCAGCGGTCTCCGTGTCCAGAGAACTACATCAGTGACGGGCCTTTCTTTTAGGAGCAAGCGGACTCGCGTGAATTCAAATCATGTAAGTATTCTTCAAAACAGACATTACGACCAGTTCTTCGTGAATTCTTAAGATATTATCGAAACGCTATGGCCAGTCCTTATAGTCCTCGGTTTTATCGCCTACCTGCAAAGCCTTGCTCACCGCAGCTCAGTTCGTTTTCAGTGAAGAGCTCCCGAGCTTGGTCTAAGTCGCATGGCTGATTTAATTTATTTTCTATAATAATATTTTTGCAAGCGTCAAGCTGTAATATCCTTAGAGTTGATATGACGACATCATTTTAAGCTTTCGTACTCCAAGGCACAGCCAAAGGCAATAGACCTGAAGTTAATGTTTCCACAAGGTGTCTATTAATAGTATTGACTGCATAGAGTTGGTACTAAAAGGGAGGGAAAGTAATGGCCATACAATGAGTCCTTGAACTATTCGAGGATATGGAAATAAAGATAAGTACAGCAGCCATTTCTATACCCGAGCTGGGTATGCCTGGATTTTACCTTTGGGTGATGAAGTATTGGCCCCCATATTAGCCACCAACTCAAGATGAGATCATGATGCGTAATCATAGAGGGATACTTACCATGGATCAATCCAGGCAGGTAGATGGCTGGAACTTGCGACATATATGACCGCATAGATCCAGGAGCTCTGTTGACCGCGATTTCACGATCCACAATGTAATCAGTATACACAGCTTCCTCATGTTCTCGAAAAAGACAGCTCGGCTGTGTATCACGGCCGAGGGGAACAGATTTGACAAAAGATTCATCAGGAACTGGGAGATTGAGGGCTTCGATACCACATACCTGGCCTTTGAACCCGACAAGGACCGGTACCGTCGTGAACTGGAGAAGATCACGCAAGGGCTGAGTGTGAGCGAATCGTATGCTGTCATCGGTGAGAATGACTCTCCACCTACGTTCAGGCAAGAGTAGATATTGATCGCCAAAAATGAGCACCAGGCTTTGGCGAAGCTGCGGCTTTCTGCCTCGAACATTACCTCCATCTCCCCAACACTCGCAAGCTCTGTGCTTTAATCGCGTATTACCCGCCGAGAATCCCCCCGGCGGCCGTCCAGTATCCGCCCACTGTACAGGTGCTCATACACCTGGCGAACCAGCAAGTTGCGATCCCTACCCGGCAGCAAAACGGGGCAGCTCGCGCGCCCCAGGCCACCTGGGCGAAGATCGACGCGGGCATCGGCACCGGCGACACCCTCCAGCTGGGACACAAGGCATACGCCTACCCGAGCGCAGTGCCCGGGTTCGCCGAGCACGATCAGGCAGAACATGACCCCATATCAGCAGGGCTGGCTTGGAGCCGGAGCCTGGCGACGCTGCAGAGAGCGTTTGGAAAGGAGGCCGATCTGGAGACAGTATGGGACGAGGTGCAGGAAGGTAGGAAACACCCATATAACCTAATTGTCCACTTGGTGACAATCCAGACCGGTACTTCTCGCAGACTGTCTCCAAATCCAAAACAGCGTTTGTCCGCAAAGGAACCCCTTCCGTCACGTACAGCCCGACGCTGCAGGGAGCGACGGGAACGGCGGATCTGCAGCGCTTCTACGAGACCATCTTTCTCCAGGGGCAGCCACGCTCGATGCGTCTACGGCTACTGTCGCGCACGGTCGGGGCTGACCGGGTGGTGGACGAGCTGTACATGAGCTTCCAGCACAGCCAGGAGATGCCGTGGATACTACCGGGCATTCCTCCCACGGGGCGCCCCGTCGACCTTGTCCTGGTCAGTATTGTCAGCCTCCGCGGCGGCAGGCTGCTCTCGGAGCATGTCTACTGGGATCAGGCCAGTGTATTGATGCAGGTGGGCCTCCTTGATCCCAAGAAGGTACCCCACGGCTTTCCGGGGGTCGAGAGACTCCCGGTGGTGGGAAGGGCGGCTGCCTCGACTCTCTTGGGGCAGGAGTGACAGGACACGATTTTATATATTATTATGTACATAGAACAAGCGGAAATCTAAGTGACATAGTATTAATTAATTCCTACAATCGACAGCCCGTTAGTCACGAAAGCTGATCGCTTGGGAAACCCCACTTACAGCAGCTGGAGGGTGAGATCGCCGTGGATCTTTGCCTTGAGTTGTACCTCAACATCCAGGTTCAGATCGAGCCGCAACCGCAGCTGTTCTTCCTTCTGTTTGGGCTCCATCTGCGACCCGCCGGCCACCCCGCGCAGCAACTTGCCTGTGGTATCGCCCACCGCCCCCACGGCCTTTGTTGTCACGTCCTGGACGAGATCTGTCGCCTCGTCGACTGCTTTACTCACATCCGGCAGCGGGACGAGTTGCTGCTCGGCCTGCCCGCGCCAGTCGCTCCGCTGCTGCAACGCCTCTCCCGCCCCCGGTCGATCCGGGGCCCCGCGAGCCAGGCGCCTGGCCCCACGGGGAACGCCCCGCTCTTCCTCGGCAACCGACTCCAGCTCGTCTGTTTCGCTGTCTCTTGTCGCAGACGGCGGCTTGCGATTCAGCTTGGGTGGTCTTCGTTTCACTGGCGGGTGCGCAGGGACGACGTCAGGATCGGCCATTCTTGCTGCAAGAGAATAGTTGTCGTAGAGTTAGACGGAGAATATGGTGGTATAGAATATGTTGGTCGTTGGACCTGGAATCGCTTAAATGGGGAAGGGAGCTTTATGTCAGTTTTAAATGTTTCATTTTATCCGGTACTCTAAAGGGTTGCTCTTCATAAGAGCTTGTTCAGAACCCTAATTCTACCATTGGAACCGAGCTGTTGATCCATTCATGTGAACACTCTTTTATGGAGTAATGACATATGTGGGGGCGACTCCAGTCTCCATAGCTCTAGTCTTTTGATCGGTTAAAATACAATTACTATATTACACCTCTTCATCTGGTCTGTTTTGCGGTTGCACGCACTACTTTCTGAACCCTTCATCACAACAACACAGATGGCGAATACGCCAGATGCGAGGAGAAAGGCCCAGCCTGTACAGAGCGAGACAGCTGATGCAACCCCCCAATTTGAGCCCCGAAGACGGCCGACGGAGATCACAGAACGCGCCGTCGAGCCATATAAACGGATCCGATCGTCGCAGTCGTCGATGGCCGGGCCGCTGACTACTTCACGAGCAGCCGGAGGTGGCCAACTACAGGGACAACCCGGCTGGGAGGATCAGGAGATTGAAGTGAGCAGCAAGAAAGAAGACACGGGGTTGAAGTTGCGTCTAGACTTGAATCTGGACGTGGAGGTTGATCTCAAGGCCAGCATCCATGGGGACCTGACGCTGTCTCTGCTGTACGTTATCCTCGCTCTCTCAATTCGATCCATTCTCTGATACAAGATGCAGTTCCTAATGTTCCTAGCAAGTAAGGGGGGAAAGAGTGACTCACATATAGTATCCTACACCTCCTGTATTATACTGTATCTATACTGCATGATGCATCTCAGACAAGCTTTCTCTTTACACTCCCGGTGTAGCCACCCAGCCAGTAGTATTGTCGGCTCTATGCATCCATAGAAGCGAGAGATGAGTTCGTCCTGCTGGACCATGTCAATTCATCTGCTCTGGTACCGAGAAAGTCACGTACCACGCTTATGTGTCTGATTCAACACAACGACTGTGTCGTAGTTATGACGTTGATTTGATGTATCAGAAGCGCCAGACATATATTATAGTAACCTGACCTTAGTATTTTGCGCAACAGAACCTCACATGCCTCACTCGATTAAAGCAGTGACAGTGACTCGAAATTTCCACTGTGTCACGCACAGCGCACCGCTTGCGACCGACGGGAAGACAACCTGAACACAGAACCATCAGCAATGGAAAACGCGACACAAACCGGGGAGAGAGAAGCACTACAACGCGCCCAGCGAGGCAAGGACGCGACAGCAAAAAAGACCGCAGAGCAAAGGCACCGCGCGGATGGTAGCCAAGGCGAGGGGGCCTCAGCCTCTGGATCGGGCACAGCCCAAGGGGGCCTGCTGAACCGAGGCAAGGCCGTCGCATCGCAGGTGGGCCGCGTTGCTAAAGGTGCCAAAGCAGTGGGGGACCATCTCCCGGCGGGCATGGCCCAAGAAACCCTGAAGAAGGCTCAGAGAAGCATCACTACAACGACGAAAACCGCGCGAAAAACAGACAGCGGTACGTCACAGGCAAAAGAGACCGCTGTTCCTAGTACCGAGACGCTGGAGACTGGCGGAGAGAAGATACCGCTGGATCTGGCGCAACTGGAGGGGCTGGAGGTACAAGAGGGTGGCAAGATCATGGACAGCGACGGGCGGGTGGTCGGACGGCTGGTGGAGGGAGATCCGGCCGATCTGGAGGGCGAGAAAATTGGCAGCAATGGAGAGATCTTGGATGAGGATGGAGACTTGATTGGGCGGGTAGAAGGACTCCCGACAGACGAGTTGCCACAGGAAGCGATCTCTAGTGATGTCCCAGAGGCAGAAGGGGTGCCAGGATTGGGGCTGAAGGATCTGGCTGGCCTTCCAGTCACAGCTCAGGGGCATATCAAGGACGACGACGGCCGAGTTGTGGGCAAGCTGGTGGAGGGGGACGCCGAAGACCTGATAGGCGAGACAGTGAACGAGCAGGGGGAGATTCTCGATGACGACGGCGACCTGGTGGGTCGGATAGAGCTCACTGTGCCTGAAGGGGACATATTGAAACATAGGGTTCCTGGCAAAGCGGAACTTGACGACGTTACAGCCGCCACTATCCCTGGCGACAGCATCTCGGCATTGGAGGGGCTTCACTGCAATAAGCTCGGGTATATCGTCACTGCCGCAGGAAAGCCTATGGGGAGGCTTATTGAAGGGGATGCGAAGCAGATCTCGCGCGAGGGCTTGCGTCTGGAAGGAGACGGCTGTTTCCGTGACTCGCAGGGAAATGTCCTAGGCAGCGTTGAGCCCCTGCGTGTTCGGGGAGAAGAAGGCGAGGAAGAAGAATGGATAAACAAGGGCCCTTTTGCTGATCTGGGCGATATCTTCGTCGCTCAAGAAGGCTGGGTGCACGACGTCGATGGTCAGCGGGTGGGCCGGCTCATAGAGGGTGATGCGAAGCGACTGTTGGGCCACGCCGTGGACGACGACGGCGACATCCTGGATAAGCACGGCAATCTCCTGGGCCGCGCCGAACCGTGGGAAGAGCCCAGTCCGACGAGCTCACCGGCCGGCGATGACGCCCTGGCCGAGCTGGAAGGCCTGGCGCCCAACAAGACCGGCAATGTGATGGGCCCAGGCCTCGTCCCTATTGCACGAGTGGTGGATGGCAATCCTGCAGAGCTCCTCGGGCGGCGGATCGACAGCAAGGGTCAGATCTGGAACGACACGGGCGCAGTGATCGGCCACGTCGAGCTCATCCCGGCCGCCGAGCGCGAGGCCATGGGCCCGTTCAGCGGGCTGGGCGACCTGGTGGCCCGGGGGACTGGCGCTGTCGAAGACGCAGAGGGGATACTGGTAGGCCGGATCGTCGAGGGGAACCCCAAGGGCCTTCGGGGGCGCCCGGTGGACGCAGACGGCGAGATCCTGGACCAGTACGGCAATGTGCTCGGGCGGGCGGAACGATGTGACTCCGCGGACGAGGAGGAAGCAGTGGAAGAAGAGGAAGAGGACCTGTCCGCGCTGGATGGGCTCGTGGTCAACAAGCTGGGCAACATCGTGGACGCCGATGGGGTCGTCGTCGGACGTCTTGTGGCCGGTGATCCCCGGCGACTGGCGGGCAAGACTGTCGATGGGGATGGCCATGTGTGGAATGCCTCCGGTCAGGTCATCGGGCAGGCGGAGGGTATCCCGGAAGCGGAGCGGGACCGGCCCGAGGGGATCTTCTCTGGCCTGGATGGCCTGACGCTGCAGAAGGATGGGATGGTTCTGGATCCCGCCGCTGCGGTTGTAGGGCGACTGGTTGAGGGGGATGCAGCGCGTCTGGCTGGGCGGGCAGTGGATGAGGATGGGGAGATCATTGACAAGGCCGGCAACGTGATCGGGCGTGCGGAGCGCTGGACGCCAGAAGAGCTGCAACGCGAGATCAATCCCATGTCAGGCCGCGCCGTGAACAAGGATGGGCATGTGCGGGACGAGGATGGGAACATTCTTGGGAAGCTGACACAGGGCAACCTGCAGACCTTGGTGGGCAAACGGGTGGATGAAGATGGATATATTGTTGACCAGCGGGGCAACACCATTGGCGAGTGCACGCTGATGGCCAATCTACCCCCGGAACCGGTCCCGGAACCGGCCCTGTCCCCGGAGGAGCTCGCCAAGCAGGAGCAGGAGCAGGCGGCAGAGGAGAAGGCAGAGGAGGAGAGGAGCCTGGCTAAAAAGATGAGCTCTATTGTGCAGGGGACATTGGAGTCTGTGGGGCCCCTTTGTCGGCAGATCAGGCAGGTCAGTTGATTTTTCTTATTCTTAGGGTTGGGGTTTAGGGTTAGGGTTAGGGTTAGGTTTTCAAGGAATATACGGCTGACAGGGTTGGTGGCAGCACATTGAAACGGCCGAGCGAACGCCCAAGGACGAGCTGGACGAGGAGCAGCTGGTGAAGGAGGTGCAGCCGTTGATTGAAGAGGCAGGGGATGCATTGCAGGAATGCAAGGGGGCGCTCCGTGCCCTGGACCCGGACGGGCAGATCGCGGCGACGGCCAAGGGGCGCAGTGCGGCACAGGAGGCCACCCCAGAGGAGCACCGGCTGGCGGAGCTGCTCAAGGAGCTGGCACAGACTGTCGTGGAGACGATTGAGGAGGGGCGGCGCCTGCTTGCTGACATGCCGCATGCCAAACAGAAGATCAACCCGCTGTGGGCGTTATTGTCAGAGCCGCTTTTCCAGATCATGGCGGCCGTGGGGCTGCTGCTGAGTGGGGTGGTGGGCCTCGTCAGCCAACTTTTAGATGGGCTGGGGTTGGGCGGGCTGCTTCGGGGGCTATTGGGAGGGTTAGGCTTGGACAAGTTGCTGGAGGGACTCGGGCTGGGCACTGTGACACAGGCTCTTGGGATTACTGGCAAGTAGTTTTGATCTGTACTTCATCACTTGTGTGGTGAATATATATTTAAAAGCCAGTATGAATATAGTTATGTTTAAATGATATGTGAGAAATTCCTCAATCGACTAAAAGGCATTGAATATACTAACAGATAGTATGTAGTTAGAGGACTTATATTGTCAGATATTGCATATAATCAGTATGTCAACTAGTACTATTTCATTAGGATATCTATAAAAATAACCTATATATGTATAGAATATCCTGATGTATCTAGGAGCAGCTGATTAATTTAAGTATATCATAAACTTATGCTGTGAAACTTTTTTTTCTATAGTATACTGCTGTTAATTCAAGGATCTACTGACTTTCTTTATAGAAATAACTAGAAATCTGTAAAGAAATTTAGAATCCCTGTTTTATATATCTAGATGTAATCTACTGCAGGTTAACATAGACATACATTCTCATTTTCAGTAAATAGTTAGTCTAGAATGCTGTAGTACTCTCTTGATAGGGTAGATTAGGTTACATCAGAAGCAGTTGGGATTGAAATTGTAATGTAGAATTTAGTTGTAATACCAACGATCGACCAGCCATTGTCCTAGATAAATCCTAGAGATGCTTCATATATCTGGAGACAGTTATCCCGGGTGGGCTGAATACTGACGCCACCGAGGTGTGTAACTGGCAGGATAAGCAATTCTCTTCCATGGTATTCTATAGTATAATATGTAATAAGTTATAGTTATATAATATTACTTTATAGCTTATTCACTCTGCGCACCTTATATGGAATGCTACCCATAAGCCGGCAACTCAGTTCCCAAGAATGCGTCATTAAGGACAAGGGATCGCGTCATATACAATGTGATGAATAAAATGAATAGCTTATTTTACATAAGAGTATTATTGACAGCTCATTAAGTTAAAGAATGTGACCCTATATCTGTAGTTCCTATTATGAGTTCCGTTCTCCGATGCATAGAGCACTCTTCCCCTCTTATAGTTTAAAAAGGGTTACTTATGGTAATTGGTCTATGAAAGAGCTTTATCTCAACCTTGAAAACACAACATTATGCGGAGTTTGATGATTGGTGTTGCAAGCCTGATGTTTGGGCTTCTTGCTCTCGCATCAGATATCCCTGAGCTCCCCTCACGGGATGCATTTTATACGCCCAAAGCCCACAACTGGACTGGAGAGAAAGCTGGAACAGTTCTGGATTCACGCACTGTGACTGTCGAGCTGCCTATTCTACCGGGTGGAAACATTGAATTCGAGGCCTTTCAGCTGCTCTATGTCACCCAGGACTTTGATGGAAACAAGGCCACATCCGTCACCACAATCATTGTCCCGCAAGGCGCCAACACCAGCCGGATCCTTTCCTACCAGATTGCCTATGATTCGCCCGACATCAACTGCTCTCCGTCCTACGGGCTGCAGAAAGGCGCCAACAGAGCTGCGGTGGCGTGGACTCTCAATCAGATGATATTTGTCGCTGAGGCTGCCGCCGATGCCGGATCTCCGGTTCTGAATATCCCCGACTACGAAGGATCAAACGCTGCGTTTACCGTGGGCCCCCAGAGCGCCTATCAGACCCTGGACTCCATCCGCGCTGCGACAAAATCTGGGCATATCACGAACATCCCCGAAGACGCGGAGGCTATCCTCTTTGGCTACTCCGGTGGTGGGTACGCGTCGGAATGGGCCGCTGAGTTTCACCATGCATATGCATCGGACGTCAAGATAATTGGAGCGGCGATCGGGGGACCTCCGCCGAATATCACGCAGACGTACAAAAACGTCAACAAAGCCATTTCGTCGTTGAATGTCTGGGCCATGCTGGGCGTGATGAATGCAATCCCAAAGATCAATGAGTACATGCATTCGGACCTCAAGGATGACCACCGAGAACAATTCCTCGGGGCCCTTCAGCGCTGCAGTGAGCCCGAGGTCTCGCCACCGAAGATCCCTAACTGGGCCGATGTCAACAAGTGGTTCCATAATGGGGACGAATTCTTGACCGAATTCGAGCCGGAACTGCGGGAGATTGGTGTCATGGGAAACCATATCGAGAAGGGCAAATCACCGAGCTTCCCCGTCTACATCTACCAGGGATCTGCAGACCTCATCACGGCTCCATATAGCAACACCGAAGCTCTCAAGAAAGCACTTTGTGATGCAGGAACGGATGTATTTCTGGTCAAATGGAAGGGGCTGGGTCATGGGAATACTCTTTTCCTTGGCACCCCTTGGGCGATGAAGTGGATCAAAAAAGTTTTCAATCGTGAGCCAATCCAGAATGGCTGCGGTGATGACCATGAAGTCGATCCCGGGGTCGGAGATCTGGCTGGAATCTTTGGAGGTTATTATGTCGACGGTGACAGTTCCCCTGGCAGACGCCTTGTTTGGGGAGATGTTGAAGAACCGCTCTTCATTCAGGGCGGAGCACACCCCGCGGATGTACTTGGAAGGATGGAACTATGATACGTGCCTTGAGGTAGCTTTTAGCTCCAGAAGCAGGGCAAGAAGAGATGGATAAGAGTCGTACCTGTGCTAGTGGAGAGTTTGTTGGTAGATTTGAGGAAGAAGCGGAGGTTGTTTGGGAAGCTTGTCTTGGAGACGTCTTGGTATCAGGGTGGGAGGCCTAGACATTGAATGTAATCAGCATGGCGAGTGAGCAACTTGAAAGGCGATATTAAAGCATCCTTTAGTGCCCTAGGGATTTAGAAATGTCATTTTGATTGGCTTTGAGGGAAGAAGTCACGGCGACATCGACGCCATCAGGGCTGGATTCCAGACATAGGCTGAGCAGCACCATTTTTGAAGAAGTAGATATGATAGACATGGCAATTGTAACGAAAGAGCCTGCCCACCTTAGACTAAGTATAGCTTGTTTAGGTGGATAATAGCCATTCAGAGCCTCTTTTCACACTCCATGCCCCCTATCCCTGACCCCAAGCACAAAACCGGGGGGGCACCGGCATTCTTCCTGATGGTCTCAATTTTTCGCACCAAATCCACCTTGTTCACCCTGAATCGGAAAAACAAGGTAGTTCCAGAGACAGTACTGGAATACAAGTAGCAGAAAATATCGGCGTCGAGCACTAGTCAGGCAAATGGTCCAAAGTTCTCGGTGTGGCACGCCTGCGAATATTAACTGGGAGAATTCACTACCATTGCTTTAATCGCCGCACAACACACACTATCATCTGGATCATCTAGCTGAGCAGATATCCAATGCAGGATACTGTCTAGAAGGATTAGTTTTTATTCTAGTATAGAAAATGTTTCTTCGCGTATTTTCCTATCCCTATAATTCATCCCATGTGCTATCTGCTTAAGGATGCTCTATGGGAGGCTTGGCTCTTTGCAAGATGAGTTGATTGTCGCGCAATATGTTTCTTTGTCTTGATGATTGAGCTGAGATGCCATTTGATTGATAATCTTCACTAGAGAGCTTGGGTATCTGCGGAGGGTATAAAATATCCCGCGCTGCCTATATCCATCATAATTAAACAGACGAGATTGATGATTCCTTCGGTAAGAATTGAATGTTTGCTGACCACGAAAATTGCTTCCTCGGAAACCAAGTCGTCTGGATCATCGAATAGAGCCACTATTCGGTCTAGAATGCTCTGTGGAAGCCTTGGCTGGCCGGCAAGTGCGTCCATCGCCACGCGACGCACTTCTCTGTATTGGCCATTGATGTGGGATGCTATTCGCTCAAGAATGCTTTGTGGTAGATTTGGCTTCTGCCGAGTGCGTGGATGGCCAAGCGACATCCTTCTTGACTCGGATCATCGATTCGGGGCGCTATCCGATCAATAATAACTAAGCCAAATAAGAATGTTTCAGTAAGATATCTTATGTTACTTTAGTCTACCATGCACTAGCTAATCTTTAAGCAGTAGTTGACAATCCATTGGAGGACATCTACACAATTTATAGCCTTGGATATCACTGATCTAGATAAGTGAATGACTAGGTTGTGGCTCTGAAATACTATCCAGTATATAACAGTTAAAGGGGAGTTGATCATTATAAATAATAGTTATACTACATTGATTTTATCATTTTTGTGAATTAAATATTAAATCATACTACTTAATCATGTCAATTACTCTTATAAAAATATATATGTAGTTATGTCAAGAAGTTTGCTATTATCTATCCATTCTACACAACTTCTGCTGGCTAATATTGATGGTAGATGGCTATTTATCCTAGATGTCGGTGATCAGTCTTCTTTAAGTGTATTTCAAGTAATTCTATTAGAGTGACCTAGCTCCCAGAAGAGATGATTTCTAGGGCGGCGCCCGCTAAAGCTTTATTCAGGAGGGCCACTGGGATAAGAGCACATATAGACTGGGAATATCATACTGATTATACTTATACTACTTCTTATGGTGAACTCAACCACTCGGTGTTTGTTATAGACCCCCTTCACCACCGCCTTGCCGGCGGCGAGGTTGCAGCCCCTTCATCTAGATAGTGTTGCAGTGACAGAGATTGAAGATAACTCAATCGGTCGACCACAGCTATTAACCAAGATATACCGCATGCTCTTGAGAGAATAGAGGATAAACCCTAGGAGAGTAGATAAAACACACTAGAATATTGGTTTTACAGGAATTCCCCCCTATGAATAGTAGGTTAATTATTCCCCTATGGCTAGGTATATAGCCTATATTACTTAACAAAATAGAATTAATCTAAGAGTAGGGTGGCAAGGTAGTTATAGGATATACAGCTTGAGGGATTATAAACATAGTTCAGCAGTCTCAGACAACATCCACATCCCGGTTTGTCTTACTTTCGATAACCGAGACTTCCTCCTCCTGGAATGGATCAACGCTGGTGTGCTTGAATTGGCGGGCAGGAACCCTTTGCTCAAACAGGATATCAAGCTCACTGTAGCTTCTGCCCTTCGGCTCTGGCAATCGGAAAAAGGTCCAAACAAAACACAAGAAGCACGTTCCCAGCCAGAAGAAAGCAGCCTTTGCGCCCCAATCCCATGCAGTGGAAGTCAACTGATAATTGATGAGGACGTTGGTGACCAGGCCGGCGATATTGTAAAAGTTGCGCGCCAGGACGATCGTCTTGGCCCGCAGTCTGGTAGACGACATCTCCGCAACGAGAGAGTAGCATACAGGGCCAACTGTCGAGTCATAGACAAAGGCCAGAACCAGAATCATAGAGCCGATAGCCCATGACACAGTGGTGTTGCTTTTTGGGGCAATGCCGAGCATGCCGACAATGAACAGAACCACACACATTGTCGCCGTTCCAACAAGATAGATCTTGCGCCGGCCCACAAAGGTCATAACCCACCACGACAAAAGGGTTCCAATCCCGGCGATGGCGTATTGAGCCATAGACATGTCAAACGCGTCCACGGTAGGCAATCCAGCTTGTTCGTAGAAGGTGGTGGAGTAGCCGATGAACGTTGAGCCACAGATGCTCTGGGTAACCCAAGCCGCGGTACAGATCTCGGTTCGACGAAGGTCCACTCCCTTGAAGCAGTCGAGGTAGCTGGTGCCGGCAGATATCTCCTGCTCGAGTTCGTTGGTGTGTTGCATCATCGCGATGGCTTTGTCGGCGTCAAAGTCCGGATCATTCGTGGTGGTGAGCCTCAACAAGGACTGCTTCGCTTCTTCCAACCGACCCTTGCGAACCAACCACCAAGGGGACTCTGGTGCGAAGTAGACACCGACAATGAGCAGTGGGGGCCACATCCACTGGATGCCAAAGGGAATGCGATAGGCGGCGGCCGTGGTATTGTCGACCATCCCGCGAAGTACCCCGGAGGCAATGAAATGCCCAATCACCCAGCACAAGTTGTTGTATGTCGTCAGGTATGCCCTCAGCCCAACCGGACACACCTCGGACGCATAGGCCGTCGTGATGGTTTGGAACACCCCCCATGGCAACCCACAGAGGATCTCACCGACCAGAAGCATCTTGATATCGACAGCAAAGAAAGTGATGAAAATGAATCCGGTGATCATGAACAGGGCCCCGAGAATAGTCTTGCGATAACCGATGCGCTCCGAGATGATACCGGTCAGGAAAAGGCCAATAATCTCACCGACGGTAGCACCATCAGCCAAGCCAGAGCGCCAGGGAGCCGATACTGTGTACGATCCAGTGGTCGCGTCCAGGACGCCATATTTCTTGCTGAATGCTGGGAGCGCATAGAAGTTGGCGAGCAGAAGGGTGTCGTAGCCCTCCATGACCAGGGCAGTCGATAGCACAATAGACCACAGCGCAGCTTTAGGATACAGCCTGAGGGCTCGGCCGAGGGTCATCTTCTTTTCCAGGTCGGCGCCCTGCTTTGCGTTGTTGACCAAGCTGCTGAGCTCGGATTTGTGCACCGTGGAGTGGTGAACCAGGGGCTTCCCGGGGGCAAAGCCCAAAGACTCGTGTCGTCGCCGTTCATCCTCCTTATGCTCCACGGTCTCCGACATGGTATCGCTGGTTGAGAAATTCTCAAATTGAACGCGTAGAAAATGAGCTCTAGCGCCTTCTTAATACGCAGATACCCTGAAAGTCGCGTCTATATGTAGTGTGTGTTCTCATTCTTGTATTTTCTAGCCTGGAAGTTGTAATCATATATCGAAATGGCGACATAATAATATCGCGTGCCAGCCAATCACCGGGAGTCTTGGATCAATTTCTCAGGGAAGTGTTTTTTTGACCGCCTTATCAAGTTTGAAGAGTCCTTGTTTTGCGCCATGGCTGTGGCTGATTGCGTATCAGCCTCCAACTTGGATAATATGCTGTCTGAGTTCTGGGGAAGCCTAGCCATGAGTTGAGTTTCGGCGATAAATCCAAACACAGCATACTCCGTAGCTAGTGGCATAGGCTTGGGCACATGGCTGGATCCTTTAGTAGTAGTTATGATCGTTTTTGTAAGCTAACTGGGCCTCACTAATCACACCATCCTGGCGGCGAATGTCAGGGGCCGACAGCTGCCTCGGTCAAGGCCTTGCCTCTTACGATTTCAGCCTGGATAATGTAATAAGAAAGCATCCTTAGTGGCTCCACGATATCGCTTGAGTCAGTTCAAAGGGAACCTACCATAGATAGCTTGCGTCAAAATCCACGGGCTAGACTCTTCTAGCATGTGAATTTTCCCGAAAAGCGACGATATTATATCATGTAATGAGATCTAAAGCCCTCTGTCTACTCACTAGCCTCGTTGCTGATTCCATAACGACTTCCAACATAGGCTGCAAATTGCGCCTCGGAAAATGGCAGATTATTGCGATATCGCTCGTAGCCAGATCCCGCCCATCTTCACGAACAGCCCAGACATTCCGTATATCGCAATTCCAATACATAGGCGCCCACCCCCACTGGTCTCTAGAAGGATAAGTCTCTATCACCAAGAACGCGACATAGGATTGCTCTCTGCCGTCATGCCCTCTTCCCATGCTGGTGGGTCATGGCGGAACTCAGTGCCAGGGTTCTTCCAGAATCGTATAAGCAGACCGAAATTGACAGATCTTAGCCAGACATCTGCTGCTTGAGGACATCTGCTGCTTAAGGAGATCCGGTTTGCTCAGGTGATGGCGGAAGAATAAAGGGCTCCAAAGCATGAATCTTCATGACACGGACGGTTATGAGGGCTCGGTGTAGTAGATCCATGACACTTTTCCTAATGTGCGTGTTTCTGCACTTTATTAAGTTGCCCATTAGATATTGAAAGTTGGCTAGAGTTATATTGGCATAATCTTTAGGGTGAACCTGTCGCAGGGAAATCATTGAGCTGCAATATCCACATGGGAGTGTGGGCATGCAGGATGATGTGCCAGAATCTAAAATATATTTATTTATTATTAACCTATCCTTTAGATAGGTATTATGATGTATTAAAGAGACATAGTCTCCTTCTTTAATCGGGCAACACCTGTCAGCCTGGAGCCGAGATTTGGACATCATGCTGGGTTATACTTAATGCACATTATTCCTTTAACTGGTTCATCTGTTCTAAGGTAGGGATAAGGATCAATCTTGGTCTATAGAGTGTCACCCTCCTCGTCGCATTGCCGTCTACATGAAATCTTTATCAGAGCAAACCTGTCTCTCTCAACTGGGAGGTATATATATGGCCTGTTTATATTCTTAAGAGAGTCTACCGGGCTGAGCGGCAAACTCTTTGCAGAAATGGTCATGGAAGAGATAGTCACTACTCTTATTATTATTAGAGTAATAATATGTGCTTTCACACTGTGGGCATTAAATTCCTGGGCTTAAATTACTGTTTAGTTGAGAATCCTTGAATGGGAGATATCTCACCTTTATGGGGTAATTCCTTCACTTTTTTAGTCTTATAGCTAACCAGTGATTTAATATTTACTAAGATAATATATAAACTCACTATGCTGGATTATCTATTTGATTTATATGGCCATACATGCTGCTCCCTTCGCTGCCATTCTTTAAGAGTGAGTTTCAAAAAGTCTAAGACTGGTAAATATAGCAAATACCATGCTATCTATAAGTGGCAATGGAACACAGCGACACACCAAGAAAGGTTTCACAAAGGAAGTAGTCTCTTTGCTGTAATTAAAGTAATCTATAGTGGGCTGCAGTGAGGATGTCTGCTTATAGTAGATAACTGGCTATATCTTAGCATGTAGAGAAAAGGTCTCTACACAGGCCTTTTCAAACCTCTGGCTAAAGGGATGGAATTCCCTAATCACGAGCTCGGAAATGGAGCCCAGCTCTAGTCATTCCCACGCCTTAAATACCCCAACCATGTATTTGGCTTCTAGTGTTGTCTTTGATTTGAACATAGGCAGGGAATCCTTGCAATTTCACAAATGTGGCTTCCTGGCGGCGATTGATCGTAATAATTGGCAGTGGACCAGTGGCCTTATTATGAAGTTTAATTTGCCCTAGAGCTTTAAGCTAACGTGTGTGTAAGGGTTGTGGATAATAACCGTCGGACCTGCTTTAAATTCAGATATATAAGGATTTATTGGACTATTAGGGCTCTAGATTTGACGGGGTTCTTGTTAGAATCAAATTTTAGCATTTGATCTGTCATGGTCTCCCAAGTGTTAGCTGCAGCCTCCCACTTGGGCCATTGTTGAGACCGCCAGGACGGTTTTGGTCGGTTATGAGAGTTTTCCGGACAAGTTCAATCCAGTGATTGATCTGTCGCGACGTACAGTCTGCAGCCCTAAGCTCGAATCCGGTTGGAGGATTTGTAGTTGTGTCCGTCCTATCCCAGCCGTTATATTTAGTATCAAATATTTAGAAATCTGTCATAAGAATTAAAGTTGTTATGAACTTCTAGAAATACTATCCAGATACCCTCTAACATTTGCAATAACCTATAGCTCTGCTGTTAAGCTGATTATTGTAATAAAGAAAGCAATTATTTCTTATAATATCCACCTTAACTCTATCTTTATCTTCATGCACTACTATTATAGTAACCCTATTATATCCCTAGCACGGCGACAGCAGCTGCGCAATATGGTCTAGGAATTCCTAATGATCAGAATCTAGGGTAACTAACAGATTTACATATTCCTCTTCCTCATAATCTACCTCAGAGTTGCTCAAGTCAGCTGTATTACTGCCGTATCCTGCGTTCTCGGCTCCATGTCGCTGTTTTGCTTATTTCAAGATATAGGGGTACATAAGCTGCCTAGATATCGCGTGCAAGGCCTTCTTGCGGATGAATTACCAATCTAAGCACTCCAGCATCGCGCAGGATGACAAGCTGTTCCTGGGAGAAAAGTGTTTCATGCCTAGAGTCGGTGATGGGCATTGACAGGCGGCTTAGTGCGGGGTGGTAATATGAATCCTGGTCAACCATTCAAGTCTCATTTACTGGCATGTACTAGGATAGTCGATCCTGGAGATTTCAGGACCAACATCATGCTTCATCAGCCTGCTACTATAATCTATATTATACTTATTATAGTACCCACATGTAACAGCAAAAGAAGAGTACATAATTTCAAACCCTGCATACTGATTATGTATTTACATTTATCTCCAATGAACCCTTAAATACTTTTTCCTGACTACAAGTATATAATAGTAATTACCATTTCACCTCTATGTCACTGCTCTACCTAATAATGAAAGAAGTCTGGTCCGCGCTTTGGCACAGTAGTCATAATCATTACCTATTGAGATATATCCTTAGTAATTGAGTGTACAATTAGCCGGACAGTTGAACAACTAGTTCCATTGCAGAGGCCAGTACTAAAACATTGAATGTTTCAAGTGGCATCACCTGACTAGGAACTGATCACCGCTTCTTGCGCTCTGGTTGTCTTTCTCCCCCTTCCATCCATCCACTTTCTAACCCATCATGTCATCCCTTACGCCTACCGCTTCAACCTCATTTTCGCCTTCATCTGCAACTCCATTTGCGACTCTGTATCCCAATGCAGATGTCCACACCGTCGACCTTGTTGTTGTCGGTGGCGGAGGGTCAGGGGCGAACGCGGCCGTTCACTTCCACGATGCGGGCCTGTCGCTTCTTCTCGTGGAAAAGGAGGATCGACTAGTATGTCGAGAGAGTATGGTCGAGTACAGAGACAGTACTGATTCCTTAGGGCGGAATGGTCGATAGCTGGACCAATCCCGCCACAGGCACTGTTTATGACTGTATGTTATGTTATACCCCATCTGAGCCGCTGCTGATATTACTATTCTATTGCAGTCGGCGTGGCCGCGTATACCAATTACACCGGGACCGTCGAGTTCTTCAACCGACTGGATATTGCGTATACCGAGTATGCTGCATCCACAGAGACCGCGTACTATGCAGACTTCACCACGGGGGAGACGGTGGATTACCTCGCTCCCAACGTCACAGGCGAGGTCCGCGCGCTGGAGGAGTTCTATAATATCACCAGTCTGTATGAGGATTTGTTCCTGCCTTCGTACGCCAACTGGCCAACCCCGGAGGATATCCCAGACGACCTGTTAATGCCGTTTCGCGAGTTCGTTATCAAGTACGACCTGGATGATATGATCTTGGTGAGCATATGTTCCTGCCCTATCCTTCTTCCTTTCGATATTGCTTATACTCCACAGCTGATGTGGGCTGAAATCGGAGCTGGCCTCGCCGACATGCTGGACACACCCACCCTGTACGTTTTGCAGACGTTTGGCCCCCAGACCGCCGCGGCGTTCATGGGCACAGACCCCGAGTATGTTCCGGTGTCTGGGCGCAATCAGGATATCTATGACGCGGTTGCGGATCTGCTTGGAGAGTCCGTCTTGCTGAACAGCATGGTTGTTGCGTCAATCCGTCGTGCTGATGGCGTGGAGCTGCTGGTCGAGAACCGGATCAATGGGACATACAGCGTTATCGTTGCCAAGCAACTGGTGATGGCGATTGAGCCCACGGCGACCAATATGGCGGCCTTTGATCTTGATAAGCAAGAGTCCGATATCTTCGACGTGTGTACATGGAGCGTGGTCAACACAGGTATTGTTTCGCATCCCTCACTGCCTCACGGAATGATCTATAATTTGCCCGGCAATGCTTCCTCCGCTGCTCTTTCTCTTCCGGAGCCTCCTTTTGTCGACTACTTTTCAGTAAGTCCCTATCTTCCCCTATCTGGACTTTTATTCATGTGCAGTATCTCGGCGAGGACCTCTGGCAAGTCATTGTTGTTGGCTGGCTGGGCATCACTACAGACGCCGCACAAGAACTAGCTAACTCGGCCCTGCACGCCCTGTCTGCCGCCGGCACGATCTCAGCGACGAACGGGACAAACCTGACGATCCGGGCGTGGTCGGACCATGGTGCAATGGATATGCGGACGTCAGCAGACAATGTCCGCGAGGGTTTCATCCAGCGACAGACAGCGCTTCAGGGGCACCGGTCGACGTATTGGACGGGTGCAGCGTTTGCAAACCAGCTGTCGACGTATCTGTGGGCGTATAATCTTGAATACCTGGTTCCGCTGGTGCTGAGCAATTAGGATTTTATAATACTAGGTGCTGTGCCGGTATTGGCTGAGAAGAGTTCAAGATTCGGTATCTACATGACCTGACCATAGCAGATCTTCATTGAACCTAAACTTACTAGTATTATATATTATTATTATTATATATACTTAGTACCGCCAGGTATAATGAAATATACCTTATAGAGTTTAAAATATTAAAGTAGTAACTAAGAGTAGTCATGAATAATCATGAAAAGATTAATATGTTTATTTTCTACCTTAAAAATACTACTCCTAGTTATAGTGTTGGAAAATAAGGGCCAGCTTTACCACTAGACTAGTGTCTAAATAATTGATTCTAACATAAAGCTGACAAATAAAGTAAACTTTATTTATAACTAACTGTTTAATCTGCCTTTAGTTATATTAGCTAAGGGTCTAATCTTAATTAGCTTTATAATTACTATACAACTTATAATTATAAATAAAACATCACATATCTATTATTAATATATCTACTTATATTTATTATTTATAACTACTCACCTATACATTTCTGCTTATTAACTAGTACACTTTGGGGTATTGTACTGTTATTCTACAGCTCGGCTATGCCTACCCCTCCACCCTATTGGCTCGCACTTGCGGGAGCATTTTAGCTTAAAACCCAGCGCTAACCAGAAATAGCAGCTTGCATAATTGTGATATTTTTTGGCCCCAGAGTCAGTTAAGTAGGGAATTCATGAAGAGAATAGATGACTCTGGTAAAATGGTATCATTGCCACATAAATATAAGAGTAAATAACTATAGACACCACTTAAGGAGTAACCACCTAGTAAATACCAGTAGATATGACTATATAGTAAGTAGTAACTGTTGAACAACAATAAGTAGTAACTAACTACTACTCTGTACGGAGTACTTAACTAACTGGTTAATACCCCGACATTAGTCTCGTATAGCCTTGGCGGTCAGACGAACTGCTTTCTATTTCTCTGTCAATACTCTTCTCTAGTCAACTGCATATTTCTCAGTGACTCTACACTATATGCTCTGTGCAATACTATAATGTCCACCACCACGACGGCCAGCACCTCGGCCGTCACGGAAGTGCAAATCTTCGGCGAGGTCGAGCGGGTAGCGGTTGCTGACGATGTCTACGGCAGCATCGTCGCCGTCGACACCGCCGCCGGCCTGACCACGATCGCGTTCGACTGCCGCCCGAGCGTCTCGTCATGCAGCGCCGACGGCAACCTGATGCCTCTGACTGTCACGCAGGGCCCGTCCACATTTGCGTTCGACCAGACCAGCATCTGGTATCGCGAGTGGCTCACAGAATGGTACTCAATTCATATCACCTGCGAGATCACCTCGTCCGCCTTGAGTGCGATCTGTCTCTCCTCGCAGACGCCCGTGTCGCGGGTGACGGACACTGACACAGGCACGGAAACGACCACGGGGACGTACGCGGTCACGGAGCCCGCGGAGACCGCATATCTCTTTTCGCTGACACAGGGTGAGGTGTTCTGGGACATTTTTACTGTCACGGGCGGGGTATCCAAATTGCCCGGAACAGCCACTGCAACAGCTACTACTACAACGAGTTCTTCGACAACAACCACATCTACCTCTACCATCACCACCACATCTTCTTCATCAACATCCTCCTCTTCATCTTCGTCGTCGTCGAAGGCATGGATTGCCGGCCCGGTTATCGGAGGGATATGTGCCGTCGCCCTCGTCGCGGTGGGATTATGGTGGTACCGGAGGAGGCAGAGAACACCAATACAGGCGGAAACCGCAGGGAACACAGAAGGCAACTTACCACCATATTATGATGCGTATGATGGGGCGAAGCCGGTGGACAGTATGGCAGAAGCACACTCACAGCCATTGAATGAGATGCCGGCGAATGAAATGCAGGTGGCGGAATTAGGGCATGAGGGGCGGCTGGAGTTGGAGTAGTCAGTTTATATATAGAGTATATATAAAGTTCTTTATTAGTGGATACCCTGTTGAATGGCCAGCTGAGTTGTGTAGTGGAATATCATCAAGTATCTAGACTACATATGAGTTTTAACTTGTTCTTCATGATCTACTCTATATGTATGGAAACTATAGGGGACTTTAATCTCCATATATAGGGTGTACTTTGTAACCTACTATAAACTTATATTATTAAGCTTAATGAACAGCAAAGCTGTCTTCTACGTCCTATTTAAAATAAGTAGGTCACCTAGTTATGCACTACAACAAAAACACATATATCAAATCTAGTATAAATTTAGTGTATGCCGCTTAATATAGACCTCTAGTCAAAGAATATGTAGTAGTTCGGCTTCATCATAGATACCCATTCTCTGCTAGAAGCACCTTGGGGGATATATAACCCCCCTTGGATGTATTGATCTTATGTCTACTTTAAAACTACCCTGGACACTAACAGTACGAGAGGAATTAAGGATTAAACTATAGCAGAAAAAAAGGTACAAGTAAAAGTGAATGCGAGAATCTAATTTAAATAGTATATGTATGATAAGTATACTGTCATACTGTAAGGATCCTAGGTCTGCGCCGCCTAACTAGTGCTATATAAGGAGTCTAGGGGTCCGCAAGAGTATCTTGCGGATAATGTTGGTCTTTTTGGCCGTGTTGGTTAGGTGGCCCTAGGCCTAATCCTTACACATACTGAGGCAAGAAATCTCGTCATCTCCCATGCCTCATTCTCGGAGAACTGCAGTGCCAGTGTTTCGCCTGCTCCCAGGGCGCAGGTAAGTTTGGTCGAAAAATCTTAGATGCCTCGTCACCTGCTGGGGAGCCACTGGCCAGGACTCACTACGAGGTATTATATCAAGCACCGCCATGAAATTCTATATTTTAAAACTAAATTGTTCAATAACTACCACCCCGTCAGTCTCAGAGCAAACCTTTTATATCAAGAGGCTGTTTAGGCGCATAGGACCTCCCTTCTTGCCTAAGTACAGATAGCTTAACTAGAAGACACACTATTTCGAATACAGAAAGCCGTACCGTTTTGCTGTCCATTCAATGAAGGTTGATGGTCACATATAGTCAAGTAGTGAGGAGGATTAGGCCGGGTTGCGGTAAAGCTCGCAAGAGAATTTTTTAATCAAATCCTGTCGCTGTGTATACTATATAGTATCGGCGTTGGTCCAGTGTCAGGGCTCTGGACGGGGGACAGCGCCAAAGTGGTTAATAAATAGAGGGATGGATGGTTGTTTAATGAAATAACGGTGAGCTGGCAGGAGAGGATAGAATACATTAAAGGAAAAATTTATCCTAGATATTGCTATTAATCTACATCAATTATTAGATATAGTCATTCTATAGTAGGTCAATGTTTACTAGTTTAGCCCTATCTACTATTAAGTGCATGATCTTATATATCTACTAGTATTTTATCCCTTAATACTGAAATATATGCAGATAGGCGCCATATACGTCACGTTTGACAGATGTGTATTGGGCAAAACCTGGACTTTATCATAACTTAATAGACTCTATGTGTTAGATCATGCTATACCTGTTTCTACGGGTAAAACCGCAAGGCGGGGCATCCATGGCTTCAAGATTTATAGTTGGTAAGATGAGAGTATATGGTATGGATTACTTGTATACTACTTGGCATGTTGTGGGAAACAGTCTAAGTTAGGCTGCGATATATTCTTAGGGGTTCAGTTTATTTATTCATGTTGCGCGGTCAGTATCAAGTTGCCAAATTGGCTTGACATTACACTCCCAGGTAGTAGGTAAATACCTATCTATAGTAGCTCTAGGCACACGTCTGTACAGAGTGTCTTAAATTTATTTCCCACATGAAAATTCAGCTGACCACTACCTATTCTGTGGAGTCATGAAGTAATATCGTCACTTTGGAGTTTCCGAAGACACTTCAAGAAGAATCTATGCGCAAAGGTTTATTGAATATACTAAGATTATAAATGGTACTGGTTCATATTTAACTATCAATCCTCCAGTGGATCATGCGTATGTACACTCGTGTTGAATGCGTCTGTGTGGTGCTCAATTGCCCATTGGCGGATAGCCTCGAAATCCCTACAGGTATGCAGCGTACTCGCGCGTCCCTTGGCCGACTGGGATGCCGGGTCCCAGTTCCAGACAATAGGTGAGATGTCTGCCGAACACATGAGACTCTGGCGCATTGTGTCAATGCAGTGGTCAATATGATCCATCTTTTGTAGGTGTGGGTTGACCCCATTATCGCCATACTCAGGGTTCTCGGCAGTCCACGCCTTAAGACGGACCAGGTTCTATAAATTAGCTAAATACTTGGCTTTTTATCAGAAAGATCCCACCAGACAGTGAAGTTGATGGAAAACATCTAGCTCAACAATATATTCATCAGGGTACTCTGGGATCGGGATAGTCTTGTTCACCAGCCTGGCTGCATCGGCAATAGGAATCCGACTAAGTCCAACTGCGGGTATAAACTTGGTGAATTTAGAAAGATATATATAATACTTACAACTGTAAAGGTCCTCCCAGGCTGCAAGGTTCTGGGGACTCGGGGGTCCCTGGTACTTGGTTAAGTGTGGAGGGAGGCTGGTTTGAAAGACGACGTTTTTATACCGGATAGCTGTCTCCGCAGGCGCTGGTCTGTTAGAGTCAAGGAAGAATTGAAATATCCAGCACCTACAAAAGACATTGTCCGGCATTGCTCCAGGGCCAGCAGCTTCTCTCCTCCAGAACAGCCCTGCGCCTATTGCTAGGACGAGAATGAAGGCAACACACTGGATGATAAGAAGCCGTTGCAGCCACTTGCAGCGTGACTTTAGTATCACATTGGCTGCCCAAGGGTCAGACTCTAGGGCGCCATCCCCAGAATCTCGAGGCAGGCGCTGGTATTGAAACATCATAGAAAGATGGACCGAGAGATAGCACTGTAGGGAATGACGTCGCTTATTAATAACTCACGCTTGCCAAATTAGCTGTCAAGGCCATATCAGCTGCAAATTGCCTGATCTTTGCTGATGATTACTCTTGATGTTGTAATCTCCGACGGAGATCCGTTAGGTATGCACCTGCTATCACTTAAACACCATTTATATATGCATGTTGACACTAAGCTCAGCTAAGCACTCTAACTAATAAATTAATATTATATGATGGTCGAAGCAAGTAAGCAGCTTGCAGCTGGGATGTATTTTGAGTCTACTAAATATAGCCTTACCATAGCCTGCGTCAGCTACCTCTCCTATCTACTATTACTATGAAGGCTTCTCTTATTGCTATTGTCACTGTCCTTGCTAAAAGTGTCCTTACTGCCCCTGCTAGCGCAGTTACTAATTTATAATCCTCATATGCCAGGCTAACATTACTATATAGAAGGCTGGTTAGGTGTGCATATGATGTTTAGAATATGGCCTAGGACTGATTAGGATACAACATTAAGAAGGCCATGTACATATAGGGTAAAATTACCATGAATCAACAGATAAAATCCGAAATAAGACCTTATCTTTTATATCCCAATAGTGTGATTTTTTACTAATGATTGGGCAGGATTCCAAAAACACTGTCCGACGGAGTTCCGTCATGTCTGTATGGGGGTTCCACTGGTTTCTGCAGCCGTTTCTGTAATATCTCTGCTGTCAGTTAGTATAAACTATTAGATTTTTTGTCTGCATGATAGCATAGCTTCCGCCAATAGTCTTCACTTATAAGCGAAGGCTAGAAGAATTTCCCAATCACGAAACTACCACTTTATGTTGTCTAATATTATATAAAAAATAGAAGACTATAAATACACCCTAATATCTTGCGACTATAATATTCTATATTCTTCACCTGTAAGTCTACTGAAACCCACATTACCTATATCATTTATTATATTATCGCCATGAAGACCTCTCTCCTGGCTATTGTCGCCGCCTTGGCTATGGGTGTCCTTGCTGCCCCCCTTGGGATGGTTAGTGACTTGTTACCCGGTGATGCTGGGTTGATATTTATATTTATTAATTATATATTTATACAGGAGATTCCTGCGAGGCGCAATGATGCCTCTGCCGCTGTGGATGAAAAAAATGACGTTCAGGATTGGCTGAAGCGCGGCGTTGACGTTGATGAAAAGAATGACGTTCAGGATTGGCTGAAGCGCGGCGTTGACGTTGATGAAAAAAATGACGTTCAGGATTGGCTGAAGCGCAACTTTAAGAAAGCTGAATGACGATGATCAATAATTAGATGTTTGATGCCTAGTAGGGGGATAGTGTTACAATATCTCTATAAATTGATTTTGAGAAGAATCTAAAAACAAATTCTGAGAAGATGGTGCACATACCCTGGACCCATGTTCTATGAATCTTTCATTAAGTAACGGGTTAAGCGCTTTAAGGGTCTGGAGGGTTCGAAACGTCTCCATTAAACGAAGCTTTTGAGAATCCATGTCATGCTCATCAGAGAGCACCAGAGGTCTCCAACAGCATCTACATCTCCTTTTCTAATTTGCTTTTAAGTTTGACTTCTCTAGATGCAAAATATCCTAGTACCAGGCTCCATCAAGAATGATTTACATATCCTCCTTTTATTTAGATTCCCACACTGGATCCTAGCCATTCAGCAATATCTCTCAAGAGAGTTCCGGTCAGCAGTATCATCAAAATCCTGGATGGTTTTCACCCTTAGGGGGGAAACAGACAGCAGGATAACGGCGAGGTTTCTGGGTTAATTTAATATGCTAAGGATTTTTGCTGTATTGATGCACTGTCTAACAGCCGGAGGCGAGGTACAGGCCCTGTATGGGTTACATAAATAGGAAAGTGAGAAAGGTTTCTGAGAAAATGTTACCACCAAGTATTATCTTAATATATAGCTAGACTATCATGCTAACAAAATTCACTGCTGCGGGTAATGAAAGTCATCTGACTTCAGAAATTCATTCTATAGCAAAGTGCCGCTTCGCTATGACAGAACCCTTTTCATCTATTTCAACTGCTGTAAAATGCGTGCGATTTTCAGACTCGCTCGCATGAGGGGTTTCCCTGTCGTCGGGCGTTAGTTTGTTTTGAGATAGTTTCTTAGTGATGAGAGCTCACTGAAGAGCAACCATGTCGGTTTCTGGTTTGAGGGAAGACAGATGCTTCTCCGAGGTTGCTTTGAATTTCTGTTGGATTTCTGGACTCAGATATACCCTTTTCCAGACATCCGTTTGATCCACATATCCAACTTTCACCGTTCGTGCGCCTGAGGACAAAACAGCAGTAACCTTGGTCGATACAACCTTAGCATTAGATGCCATATTTGCCCGCGAGTAAGAGCCGAGGGGAATAGCTGTAGAAGTATAGTGGATAGGCTTGAAGTCTCGAAAAAAGAAATCGATTATTGAAGAATGTCTCTTGGGAAGAAAAGGAGATTTTTTATATTCAACATGCAGTTCTTATAGCTTTTACAACGCTCTTGTTTTTCTCTGGTCATCATGGGTAGTCTTTTAACATGAGTGACAACAGCGCCTACTAGGTAGATTCCGCAGAAGATGAAATTAAGGAAGCCAATCATCAAGTTCCATAGGCCCACCAACGTCTATAGATAGAGGAGAGTGCTGGTTCCCGCAACATATGTTAAGTTCAGGCCAACGGCACTGCCAAAGTCCTTGGTAATTCTAACCGTGAATTATCATTAGTTTCCATCAGGTGCTGGAAGTAAAGATGTTACCCGTGTCTCACACCCTAGTAGCCATAGAGGAACTGTTTCAATGCGCCATGGTCTTTTGCGCGCGCTACATGGAACAAAACAATAATAGCGACAGAAGCCTCTCGGAATAGACTCGAACCCGGACACAAATCCCGCCAAGATGAATAACAAAATAATGCATACTACAGCATTATTCATCGAGAGTCAAGACCCCGCATCTTTAACTAGTACTAATTTTTGTAAATTGGAATCCCCAGCATATACTGTATTGTGACCAAGTATCGGGCACAAGCTAGGACCCATTCAACAGCGAATTCCCTACTCTTCATACCTTTTTCTACCAGTCATTCAACTCTCCAACATAATCTTAGCTATATCCGAAATATTGTAATGTACTCCGTATGACTATACTCATGGACTGACATGTCATATGTATCATCATTTATATTTAATCACGTGACCAGAACCCAATGTCGCCGAAGCTTCCCGTCCCCAGATGATTCCATTAAACCTCTGCCCCAGGGGCCAGAGAACAAACATTCTCTATCTGCTACTATGCTGATTTATACAGTATTAACCCGTGGGATTTCTTACTCTCTTTCCTTGTCGCCATCACTTCCAACAAAAACCTTGCCATTGGTGTCCCGTTACGCCTGTCTCGGTCGGCAGTTCTCCCGACGATACGCGATGTCTACCACTTTGCAGTCCCATGAAGAGCCTTTAACCCTGGGTACACGACTCAAGGGTGACTCCGGACGAATGTATAGGATCGAAGAAGTCCTCGCTGATCGCAGAAAGCCCCTGCTATGTGTATATCGTGCACGGTATGGGTCCTTCAGTATGCATTCGGCGCGTGTGCCATCGATGCTAACTCTGAAGAACGGCGGAAAGCGCTGATGAAGGGAACTACGTTATCAAGAATATGATCCCAGGCGAGTTTGAGTATCAGTTGAACTTGCAGAAACAACTCGCAACCTGCCCCAACGTGCGATCGGTATTCGATACTGTCCCAGACCTCGATTTATTTATCTACCCATTCCTTACTGGAGACTTGCTTCGCTTGAGTCACGTTCCTCTACCTCGAGAGACGAAAATCCACATACTTCAATGCGCACTGCATGGGCTGGCTGATATGCATGAACAAGGGGTTCTTCACAATGGAAAGCTTGACCCCCCAATGTTGTTCTCACCACAGTACTGACTTTAAATAGATATCAAAGCGAACAATATCCTTGTTGATTATGATGACAGCATCCAGGGTCAAACGATCATAAAAAAAGTTCAGATCTCGGACCTTGAGGATGCAGTTCTTGTGCCACCCGGGAAATGGCTGAGAGGGCCTCTCTGCGGTAATGCCATCTGGAGGAGCCCTGAAAGCTGGTGCAGATCTCGCCAGAACCAAGCCTCAGATGTGTTTTCTTTTGCAATTGTGGTGCGCATGTCCCTCTCATACACTTTCTGCGCCTCACTGAATACTAATGTTGTCTTCAGATGATTTACTTTATGCTCAACGAGATGGTTTTTCACGTCCATGACAGCGAGCTTCATGCGTCAGACTCTTGGCGCTACGTTCTCCGGAGGCATATATCCTATTTTGCGGACGAGCAAGGCTTCACTGGATTGCTGGAGCATATTGGGGAAGCTAATCCTTTTCATGGGCGCTTAATCACACTTGCCGGCGACTTCACCTCAGAGAGCCCTAGAGAGCCTTTCGAATCTTGGAAGTATGTTGAGCCCGAATTCAGGGACCTCGTGGGCAAGATGACGAACCTGGATCCAACCAGAAGGATCACGGCCAGACAAGCACTTGAGCACTGTTGGTTCAGCCAAGCCATTAAACAATACGGGGGTTGAGATATCCACTGCCGTTAATATTTACACTTATACTTCCCTTAATATGTTGTAAACACACCGAGGGGTTCTCGCTGGACCGTATATCCAAGACTTCAATCGCATCCGCAAGTATCTTCCATTAGGCAGGGATATAACTAGTGTGGTGGGGGATTTGGTGGCATGTTGGACTTGGTCTTTTCCGCTTTGCAGTTTGGCATGCTTGTTTTCTCTTAGGGGTTCTGCAGGAAAGCTACATAGTAGGACAAATCGAGGAGAGGAATCATTAACGGAAGCCCAACGGGCGTGCTGCTTTGGACTTCACTTGATCCATTATTTCTCCCCAGAGCGGAGTGGCACTCTAGACTTGCCCTCCAGATGAGCTTCTACACCGCCTGTCCCCTTAAGGAGCTCCTACCACAATCAAGAAATCTCCAGCTTCGTTCCTGTGCCCGCATGCGAGATGGAGGTTCGGCTCACCCACACCCTTTCTCGTTCGGTAAACTTGGTCAAGCGCCCGTTTAGATCAACTACTTCGGAGATACACGCTCATAAAACATCTTCAATTTAATATATAACATAACGCGCCCTAACCTAATTGCCGTTTACAATGCAACATTCTACGCTCAACGCCGTGGAAACGATATCAGGATGATTTGCCTGGACGAGCAGAGAGAAAAGCCGAGGCCTTGCTCGCCACCCTATTTATGCTCCAGGCCTGCCAGTCAATAGTAGGTACGCTCTTTGGGCTGGTACCTTTTACATCTTTGATCCACTGCTGGACTTCTTTCTTGCTGATTTGTTTAGGGAGTTGGCCGTCAGTCAAGGACCCATCCACACTTCGTTGAACCTGCTGCAACGGGCTATGGTGCTCCTGCAATTGTATAAATTATAAAAAATAAATGCATCTAACTGAAAGGATTTGCTTCGTCTATAGACTTTTTTCAGCGGAATTAATATAACTAGGGCAATTAGAGAAACCAACATTTTGTTCTCTGTTTCTTCGCTACACAGGAGAATAAACCCATGCACTAGGTAACACCACCACCACCACCACCACTTCTATAAGGCAAATCTCATACTTTAGATACTTACTAAACCTTCATATTTTTTCTTTATTTTTCTATAGGGCAAATCTCATATTTTAGATACTTCCTAAACCTTCATATTTTTTCTTTATTTTGAAATATGATAATTTGTTTTTTGAGAGGATTTCAAAAATATAGTCCTTTTTTTAATAGGCCTAAAGGTGGTGAAGTTATAAGAGGTTAAAGATATTATAAAAACCTTAATCTAATTAGTATAAAACTCTTATATTAAACTTAATTAAGGTTTCTATAATATCTTTAATATCTTAATAACTAGAGGGGCTATAGACCTTAGCTAAGCTTCTAAAGAAAGCTTATTCTTTATATAGTTATCTATTCTTACTATAGGTTAAATAAGGAATATTAAGGTAGTATAGTTATAGGTTAAAATCTTTACTATTTATATATATATATAGCTATATACTATTATA